GTTATGAAGAGAAATATTAGGTAAAAACTTTATTGTAACATACAGTAGGCACTTGGCCCAATTTCTCCTTTCAACAATATATTTAAGTTATATGGCAGCTCACAGTTTCTGCCTTGCTACGTCCTGGGTTTTTATGTAGGTCAGGGTGAGTAAGTTGAAGCTGGTTGTGATTCTCATTCCCTCTTTGCTTCATGCTGTACTTGCTGATCTAATTCTGAACTTCCCAGTATTTAGTTGCCAAATGCCTAATGACATCCCTTGAAGGATTGGAGTTTGCTGGCAGGGATCAGGTACTGTTCTTCCCAAACCAGTTGTAAAAGGATTCTCAAACTTTTAAATTTTGTGAAAATAATTTCTGAATCTTCATTTCTACTTATTGTTACCTAACAAGATAAAACTTTGCTTTGTCTTGGTACTTTGTGTTTCCCATAATGTAGTAGAGACACAAAAAATTTCAAAGTCTTGTGTCTTGTCAATCCTTCAATAAAAGTAAAATTTCAAATGTTGCATATGCTTAATCATTCTGACTTCAGTGCTTTTTTTGTTTCTGCATTGGTGAACCAGTGGGACATGGATCTAATTATACTTTTCAGGGACAGTGGACAGTGATTATGGATTGTTGGATATGTTCCACAGTTTCTAGGGGCATCCACATAACTTCAATGTTTACTCTTAGCTCTGGCTTGCCAGGCTCTTCTCTAAGCAGAGTGTTCTGTTTAATAGTTTTGGTTATCAAAAGGAGGAGTATAGCAAGGCTTTTGGTGAATGAACAGAGCTTTTCAGCAGAGGCTTATTTGTGCTGCTGTTGCAGAAAGAACAATATTAATATTACATGGCTGAATCAGAGTATACCCAAGAAGATGGTGCAATGTAGAAGGATTTCAGAAAGCCACACAACTTAGGCCTAGTATCTTAATAGTAATGCTGTGTAACTTTGTGTCGAGTTGGGATGCTTCTTCATATATATCTGTAAAAGCAAGGGAATGAGTTAAAATGGAGCTTAAGATGTATCATAAAACTTGGGCAGTAGCATTTTCCAAATTAGCTCTGCAAGTCTGATTTATGTATGGAGTAGTTATGTGTTTTGAAATATATTCTCTCCGGGATATCAAATTCAAATTTCTCAAATCATATGTTCTGAATTTTTGGCAGCTCTCAGTCCAGACAGAGAATAGAACTGAAGCTCACGTTGAAGTATTGGCAACTAAAGTTGCTAATCTGATTTTTCTACGTTTCCACTTTTTTTTTTTGTTAGAAATACTCTTAGTATCTCAAATGCTGTCAAATTCAGATAGTGGATATAAAAACTGTGAATAGTGGGGAGTAGTCAGGGTACCAAAGATGTAAATGCTAAGTGGTCATTCCCCACTATAGCTCAGTAGCAAGATGTATGGCATAAATTCCCTTGATCTTTATCACAAGAGTAACTTTAAAATAGCTTTGAAATTTAAAAAAGTGATGGCCTGATCAGTAAAAATATTCACATTTCTCATAGCCAACTTTTCTTTGCACAAGATTCAGTACTGTTAGTGACTTATTTTAAGATTATGGAAAGATAATGTCCTGGTTTCGGACCTATTTCAAAAAACAACAGTTGTATGATGATGCAAGTTCTGTCTCTGACAATAATATTCTTATTTTAATTCCCAGTTTTGATTTTCATCCTATGGTATTCACAGCACACTGACATTTGGGTTTTTTGCAGATAGTTGGAAATTGTGTGTTAATGGCTTGCTTGAAGCATAATCAATGCAGTATTGTGGATCCCTGTCAAGTCAGATGATAGTAACAAAAGTATAGCTAGAAAGAGCATACAGGTCACCAGCAAACAAGGAAAGACAACAGGCCTTTTATTGTGTTCTGAATGCTTGCTTGGAATGGCTGCTGATTCAAAGCATTGTGTGGTACTTCAGAAACAGACAAAAATGTGCCTTTTAATAGTTTCTTGTGTGATATTAAAGTTTTATAAAAATTGGCTTTCTAAAGGACTTGTCTGTATTTAAGACTTCTAAGAAATTGTACTTTTTCCAAGAACTTAAGTGAAATTTAATTTGCATTTCTGGTGTGATAAAGTAAATGTTTTAACCTGTTCGTATAGCTACTGCTGTCACTCTGTTAAAATAAGAACTTCTTTTTGAATTGTGTGTGACTTATTTTGGTTGGTGGTTGAGTGTTGTTGCATGTTGCCCATTGGTAATACTGTTCTCTCTGCTACCAGTAACAGAACCAATAAAGAGTGCCTGGCAGGTTTAATTAAATTATAATAGTGACTTAAGGCATATTTCAGTTGTTACTGCTTTTGTGTTTAGGTATTTAGAAGAAATGAGTTGCTCCAGGAAACACTTCTGGAAGCCTGCTTTCTGAAGGTTTGCAAAAATTGCAATGCAGTGCAAGAATTGACACCTTTAAGAAGCTTGCATCATTTTAAACCAACAGTGTGTTTGGACAGCACAGTCCTCCTTCGTACCTGTTTGCATCTTCCTAGAACTGTTATCTACTGTAGCTGCATAGCTGGTAAATGCTCTAAAGTCACACAGGACCTTGTTTTCTGATTTCTCCTAGAAATCATCTGTAGTGTTCAGGAAGGCTTGAGACTATTTGACATGGAGTTGGGTTTTGGTTTTGTTCTGGCTTTTTTATTCTTTTCCCCTCACTCTGAATCCGTAGGCACTTCAGGGTGAAGATGAAGCAAAAAAACAGGAGGGAGAAAGGTGAAAAGCTGGGTTGTGGTTTGACTGTTGCTGTGAGTTGACCTCAGTACAGGTTTCAGTGATACTAGTGACATGGCAGTTGTGATGAGTTTCTTTGATCTGACTTGTTTTGGGCGGTAGGAGAAGGAGGAGTAATTTAATGGTCTGATATGGGTGGGGAAGAGGGACCTCCTCGTATTCATTCACTAGCACATCTTAGGCTGGATGCAGTCTAACCATCATGGTACAGCCCTGAGTGTTATTCTGCTAAGGTGTGGGATCAAGCAGGGGCTGTTCTAACACTTGTTTTTCTACTTGTATGAAATTAGGCACAACTTTTTCTTCAGTGTTTTCTGATGGTCCTCCCAATCCTGAAGTTGGGGTTGGGGATGTGGGGAGACTGTGTAGATTTAGACACCACCAACTCCCGCTGCCAGGTATTCTCTAACTAGTCACAAACAGGACTTCCTTCCTCCTCGCAATCATAATTGTCAGTTGGAACAGTTATACTAGCAAATCCTGAGTATGGAAAGACTACTGCTGGCCCACATCACACTATCTACTGCAGATGTTTAAAGCTATACCCATAAATGTTCTGAATTTATAAATTTTGTCAGCAAAAAGTTGTCCTCATGTGAAAGATTACTACTATTGAAATAGTGCTTCATGCTATTAGCTATAATAATAGAACAGACTTGTGACTTCTTTTAAGTTTATGTCTTTTAACTTTGTAGGAAGAAGTATTAAAGAAGTGAAACTTCAGTTTCATTTAATCTATTTACCATACTGCAAAAAAGGACTGCTTAAATTGACAAACTCAAATCAGTGTGTTGAACTTAACCCTTTTGTGGAGTACAATTACTGAATAAATGCTGAATAGCTGAATTTATTTGAAGTAGGAACTACTGATCTTATTTTTAGAGGAGATTTAAATCACTAATTTAGAGCTATCCTTTGGTCATTAGATCTGTTTCCCACTGTTGTGGTTTGTTCTATCCAGTAGATGACGAGAAGGACTGTAGTGTTGGACGTGCAAGCAGGCTACATAAGATAGAGACATCAAGTGTGAAATACCTACTTATGCTGTCTGTCTGATCTCTCTAATCCTTAGCAATCTTTGAAATGACCTATAAGACTTATCACATTTGACAACTACTGCTCCCAAAGATGCTAAGTTGCTGCAATTTTGGTGGTTAGTTTGTCAGGTAAAGAAGAAAACTTCTCTGGGGAAGATGCTGTAGTGGAAATATCACAGCTTCTACCTTAATTTGCCAACTTCCAGGGCAGTTGGTTTATGCAGTTCTCGCTTGTTAGAACATGTGCTTCCTCTGTAGTTCATGGCGATAGTGCTGAAAAGCTGACATTTTTGCAGGATAACAGGCAACATTTGTAGGAGGTATGTAAGAGGGATAGTCAGGACTACTTCAGAAAGTGTATGAGAAAAAGTGTGCATTGTAAAACCAAAGCTTTTTTGACTCTACTTCTCTGGAAGAAACTGGTCTAAAGTGGCAGACTTTTTAGAGGGTAGCTGATGTTTGGTATATTGTCTGGGTGCATATTCAGATTACTTCCAGAGTAGTCTTAAGTGCTTAAAGAAAATGTTTCAAGTGTGACAGTTCCTGTGATTTGCTTAGTTTTGAGAACGGTGACCTTTCCTCATGTTTTGGTCAGGAATTGAAGCTGAACAACTGTGGTTGCTTCAGCCACTCACAACTACAATTAGAAAATTAAAGCAGGGCAAGAGTACTTTTCCCCCATTTCTCATAGCCTCATTCAAATTAAATGTATGTGATACCATAGAAATTGTATCATGGTAAGAAAGGTTGTTTAAAAACAAAAGTTGCTATGCTCAAATAGTAATTGTAAGTATAAATACTAGACCTCAGATCATTTAAAAGCTACCCTCCAGGGTTTATGGCATATGGAATCTGTTGAAACAGTTTAAACCCTGAAGTACAGGTAAGGGAATATGTGGAATTAGGTGAAGGAGAAGAGTCTTAAAGAGCATAAGTAAAAATAGTGTTTTGCCCCTTCATGAGTACATACTATGTATATTTTTTAAAAGCAGTATTTGAGAGTAAAATTTGATGCTAGGATTTTCTTGCCCTGCTGTGATCAACGGTCTTTCAGCTTTAAGTCTTTAGACCAGTATGTGGTGCACTAGTCAGTTGTTAAAGCAGCTCAGTCTGGAACAAAAAAAATGTGCAGCCATACACTTTAATAGTTTGATGTATAACAGTTGTAAACTTAATTAGGCTTTGATATAAGATATTTTCTCTGATTAATCCATGGTTGGTTTTTTTTTATAAGGTGTGCAAACAGATTTGGCTAGGCCTATTTGATGATAGATCATCAGCAATTCCAGACTTCAGGGATCCACAGAAAGTAAAGGAATTTCTACAGGAAAAATACGAAAAGAAAAGATGGTAAGATAGCTTTACAATTATAAAGATTGCCTCTGTGACAAAAAATGAAGATGGACTGTTATCCTTATGTTCTTGGGAGTGCTCTCCTTGTGTACTCTTTGGACTACATCACACAGCTCTGTAAAGTGTAATGATTTCTGGACTTTATTCAGAACTCCTACAGGAAGCAGACAAGGCAAACTATTTAAAGAAGTTTCTCAGTGTGTAGTTCATATTGATGGAACAGAGGCTTAAGGGCATGTCAACAACAGTATAAAGTAAGAGTTTTGCAGGCTTTTTTTTTTTAGGCAGAAGACATGTGATTTGTGTTTTAATGAGTCCTATAAAATACTGATGACTCGGAATTCTAATCCATTTTTAAAAAAATATCTGGCATATGTAAATAATGGGCATTTTGCAAACTGCTTGATAGAATTTTTTTCAGGGTCAGTGACTAAAATACCAAAGCTGAAATCTTACGCATGTTGAGCAGAAATTTTCATGTTAAACTTGTAAAGACTGTTGCTCTTTTTGAATGTAGGTATGTTCCTCCAGAGCAAGCAAAGGTGGTGGCATCAGTCCATGCATCCATATCGGGGTCTTCTGCTAGTAGTACAAGCAGCACACCTGAGGTGAAGCCACTCAAATCTCTCTTGGGAGAAGCTGCACCCACACTGCACTTAAACAAGGGCACACCTAGCCAAGTGAGTAGTGATGGAGCTGAAGAACACAGAAAGTTCAGCAGTACTTTTTTAGTGGCACAAGAATTCTTGCTCTAACAACTTTTGCCTAAGGGTATGATCAGTAAAGACCACTTTATGTATTTTGTTGAAATATACAGTTTAAAGATCAGGTTCTAAATTAAACTTGTTTCTATTGACCAAATTGATTGGTTCAATTATGATTGTCTTTTGCTTAAATATTTTTGAAGTTTGAACCTCATGGGATATATTTTCATGTTTGTTTTTTCAGTTTGAAAACAAATGCCTGATAGTGTTAACCGTGAGATTACTAGTGAATATATGGATGAAAAGCATGCATGTTCATTATTACTTGCTATGCATTCTGTAACTGTCTTATGAAGTGGTTTTCAGGGAGTGTCTTTATGCTGTTTTATAAAGCCAGACAACACTATGCACTTAGCTTTTTGAGGGAAGACAGTTTTCTGAAAAACTGTTCTACCTTTAGGATACAGGCAACTCTTTAGTTGAGCTCTTAAGACTCAAACAGTAGAAATTAGCAGCTTGGAGCCCTGCTGTGAAATTCTTCAATTTTTCTCTCCCTATACTGAATTCTAAAGATTCTTTTTCAGAATGCAGTAAATAACTTTTTCCAACTTGTAAAACTAAGTTTTATTGCCTGTATTTCTACTGTATTTGCAGTTTTAAATATGTAATTTTGAAGTTACTTAGATGCTGTTGCTTTATTCTTTTAGGTCCTGTTAATCCATGGAAATTTTCTGCAGAGTTCCTTTAAAAGCCACCATAGTAGCATAAATAGATTGTCTTCCTCGTGCTGTAGGGGGAGGGTCTGTGCTGTATACAGCATCATAAACTTAAGGAATAAATGGGTTGTTAAAGAAATATGCTTAGTCTATCCTTCCAGAACTTTGTAGAAGTCAGTTTGGAAAAATATCAGCTTTTTTTGTATTAGCTAATTGAAATGTTGTTTGTAGTCTCCTGTTGTAGTTCGATCTCAAGGACAGCAGCAACAAGAAAAGAAACAATTTGATCTCCTCAGTGACCTCGGCTCAGATATCTTTGCTGCTGCTCCTCCTCAGTCAACTGCTACAGCAAATTTTGCTAATTTTGCACACTTCAACAGTCATACTGGTAAGTATTCTTATCAGTGTACACCTTTTAAATGTATAAAATGTAGTGATAAAACTTTTAGTGATTTCAGCCTAAAATTCTTCATGAGGTATATGTAATTTCTCTGCCTTGAGAATATTTGTATTGCTCGAGATTTCCTTCAGATCTTTATAAAGAAGGGTTGAAGACTTAAAGGCTGGTAATTCTGCTTTTTGAAGTGGGAGTTACTAAAGCTATTTTCCAAGATATGTATGATTAGACTGTTTCTGCCTACTACTAGAACTTTAAATTCTTTGGGAGAGAGAGTGAGAGGATGAGTAACAATGTAGGGAGAAGCTGATATTAGACCTTCAATTTTCTTTCTGAAAATTATTAGGAAGAGCAATTATGAAAAGCAAGCAGATACAGAGACTTTAAGGGAGTTCAGATGCATTGACAATAACAGTCAGTTTGTTAAAAAGGATAAAAAGGCTTCAAGGCTTCCTCAGTTAAAGGATGACCTCCTCCTTTGTGTGTCTGTTTGAAAACAGAATACTATCCATGTGGATAGTATTCTGTAGTTTCAGGAAGAATAAACAGGCTTTGAGCATATGTATTGACTGAGGATGGGGATAGGCCTTGAATTCTTAAAGAATGACTTCAGTAAAATATATTGAGCCCTTAGGGTTTATTTTCAGGCAAAGATCTTGAGCCATAGAAGTCTGTCATAAAGAAAAAGTTGGTTCTGTTGTCACTGAAGTATGTTGTTGCTAACTTGCATTGTAATTGTGGGAAAGTACCTTTGCCTGCCTTACCTGAATAGGCTTTTCATCTAGTTTTTCTGAGAGAAAATGTGATGCTGCTAAGCCAACAAGAATAAGTGTTTTCTTGCAAATCAGTCCTGAGATTGTTAACAGCTGAGAGGAAGTGTAATAGAGGGGACTTAAGACACACCTGAGGAACTGAGCAAAGTATCAAGGCTTTCTTAAATTCAACTTTTAAAAAAAAACTTTGTGAAATAATTGGCTGAATTCAGTGATACTGAATAAGGATTGCCATTGCAGTATATTTTGTAAAATACTTAGCATGAAATCTTATGTTCATCATCTTTTTGGAGGTGTATTTTTAACTGGGAGAACTTGTGCTGGCTGGCCAGTGTTGTACAGTGTCTAGGGAAGAGGCTGCAGATACTTAGTTCTTTCTAATAACTTATTCTTTCCAAGCTTGTTGCTGAATGGTTCTGTATTTATATACACTTAACTCCTCTTTATGGGTTTTGGGAGATGAAAATTCTATTAGAGCATTATTTCAAAACTGTGTTCCAAATTTAGGTAAAATTCCACTGCATCTCTGCTGAGTAATTTTTAAAAGGATAAAAAGCAATATGAGCACTCGAGTAGAGATTATCTTATGAATGAGTCTGTTAATTTCTGATTGAATTATGTGCTGAAAATCAAAATTGAGAGGAATACTCAGTTGTACTGACTAGTTTTCTGTTTCAATAGTTTAACATTGTAGTAATTTCCATGAGTCCTTTCCATAAGTTTTAGAACCCAAAACAGTTTCAGGGTTGGTAAATCAGTTTCTGAAAGACAAAAATCTAATTCTGGCTATGCAATAGCTGAATGTGTATTGCGGACTGATTTATCTGAATGTGTGTCCTGATTTGCTAGGGTGAAACACTTATAAGACTTGTTCTGTGTGCAGTAATCACAGGGTAGTGTTAACTGGTGAAATGTTACAGGCTCTTCCCTTTGGAACACGATGAGGGTTGATCAGTCCATTAACTTGGGCAAAAATGTGTGTTAAATGTTTATTTAAGAAGCTGTATAAACATGTAAATTTTTTTTTGTAATCACACACTACTGCAGAGAATAGAAGAACTTTCACTTAATCCAACACTACTTTCTCAAAGTTTGTTCCAGTGTTCTTGTCTTAGAACTTGGTTTTAGTGGTGCCTACAGGGGATGGACTTTTCTCTTTCCCTTCAGGTACACTATGGTTAATGAAAGAAATCACTGAAGAGCACCAGCATATCTAAGGTCGTCTTAGTATAAGTTACTGTTTCTGCAGTTAAGGCACAACTGAGTACAGCAGTTAATAGGAGAATATTAACAAACTTGTGCTGTGATCGATAAAGTGTAGATGTAAAGCTTGAAAGTTATGCAGGAAGTGCAACTTCTGTGTTCCTTTTTTCTGTGTTTTCTAATGTACTTAAGCTGGCTCAGGACACTGTTGCCTGTGGAAGGGGAAGCATGCTGACCTTACGCTTACTGTCTGTATTTAATTTACAAAGTTCCGTAACTTCTGCAAAATGATGAGTTTTTGAAGATAATGGTAGATAACTGTTCCCTGTAGTTTACAGACTGGTTAATGGCAACAAAAAAGATAGGGTTTTGGCCTGTAGGCTTTCTATAAACTAATGGAATAGAAGATCTGCACAAAAGACTTTAAAAAGGCATAGTGACAAAGCACAACTGTATCACAGGTAACAAGGGAGAAGACGCTTTACCCAGGAAAGTAAAACAATATGACATAGTTACTGCCTTCTAGATAATTATTTTTGATCTTGTAATTGAGTATGTGTAGACTTTAGGGGTTTTTTGGTTTTGTAACGTTTCATAACTTTATTCCACGCTAGGTAATGCAAACCTCACAGAAGAAACTATGCAAAGATTGTAGGGACAGCTTGCATTGCCATGACTGGTGTTGTCATACTTGAGCTAGCTTTAGCCAGCTAGCTTTACTGCCTCATTGATCTGCGGTCACAATAGCAGTTGTAAATCTATGCCAATCTGCAACCCACTGCAGTTCCTTACTTACTTAGGGTTGTTCTTGGCTTTACTGCATGGAGATCTGAATTTTGGGATTGCCATTCTGTCCTTAAAAACACGATCTACATGTTGTTCAGGTACAGGAAAGTACAAGTCTTACCTGGTCTTTACCTTTGTGCCACTTTTATGTAAGTTCAAACTTTACCACATAAAATAAAGCAAGATTAACATCTGAATACTCTGTAAGAGAATCTTTACATCTCTAGTGTTTTGACATGGGTCCACTTGCAAATCATATTTTCTGTATCAGCTGATGCAATACAATTGTGAAAAGTGGTCTTTAATATAATATGTTCCAATTTTTAATCTAGACCAAAAAGATATCTTATTTTAAGATTATTAGCATAATATTCTGTTTGTGTGAGTGGTTAAAATAAGAAATTTTGTCACCGTTCTAGGAGTGACATTTACATACTTGCCTATACTCACCTATTACAAACCTATACTTATGGTCATCTAAACATTAGTCTCCAAGTAGCCCTTATCCAATTGATGCATCGGGTGAAAGCATCGCTTTCATTTTAAAGTAAGGTGCAATTGAATTCTTAATCTATTCCTTTTAAACTACTGTTTTAAAAACAAAACAAGCAAAAAAATGCCCATGTAAACCCAATATGCATGTATGTTTGTAATAAAGTGGGATCAAGTAGAGTCAAACCTTGGCCTCCTTCCTAGTATACCCTGTGAAGGGAAATACTTGCACTTCCATATGTATTAGCAGCATTGTGGAATACAGTGGTTTGTATAAAAATGTCCTTTTAGTTTATAAATCTGTAGTACAGATGTTTTTAAAATACAAATTAAGTGGAACTTATTAGCATTATCTGGCTATTAAGTAACAGCACTTAATCAGCATAATGTATTGGTTTTGCATATAATTAATCTGAAAAATCTTCAGAATAAACATATCCTGACCCAAACATATAATATATTGTATCTGTTATTCTAGAAGGTGTTTTGAGGGCTTTCTTTAGATAGTAACTCAGGTTACCTATAAATATGGGTTTGTTTTACATCTGATTAAAACATACATTTTTTCTCTTTGTTTTATAACAGTGTTTAATACTTTCTGTGGAGCTTATCAGTCAGGCACATGATTCCCGTTGAATCTATAGATGCTTGAATGTCCAGCTGTTTGAAGTTAGATGAGTGTTAACTTTTATTTTCTTCTATAGTATGGCACGAAAGGAAGGTGAAAACTGAAACTCTGTTTGAAATTTCCTTGGATTTTATTTTGTGGATACATCCTATGAATGCTATCTTCTTGATATTGGTATTGATTTTCCATATTTTTGTATTCGTGATCTAGTTTTTCAAAAACTGAATTTTTCAGTGAAATAAACTTATAAACGTAGCCAAAACTATTCAAGTGATGCTGAACTAAACTCACCCAAGGAAGGAGCACTTTGTATATGAGGAGTTAAAATTGTCAGTATGTTACAAGAATACTTTTTAATTTTTATTTCCAAAGAAACATTCTGTTAGTCTACAAATCCAAGTTTTCAAAAGTAGCATTTAGAATCATACCTGGTTTGGATTCTGTAGGTGGTATACATGTGGTATTCTGTACTTGGCTGTTTTTTCCTGACCAGCCGTTGCTCGATACACGCTAGAGTTAAGCTGAACTGGACTTCATCAGGTGATGCAGTTGTGAGTAGTAGCATGTGTAAGGAGGAGAGTGGTAGCCTTAACTGCTCTGTGCAGGTGATTAGAGAAAGTTTGTTCAAAGACAACTTTCAGTTGTAGAATAATATGTATAATTTCTTCATGTAAAAAGAAATTACAAGGCAGGACATAACCCTTGGAGGCTGTCATGACCATGAATTCAGTTAATACATCTGTTTTGTGTTTATTTCCCATATCCATTAACATGTTTTATTCCTTTGCAATTTACAGCGCAGAACTCTGCAAATGCAGGTTTTGCAAACTTTGATGCATTTGGACAGTCTAGTGGCTCGAGTAATTTTGGAGGTTTCCCCACAGCAAGTCAGTCTTCTTTTCAGCCCCAAAATACAGGTAGCACTCCTAGCACTTTTGATTAACACTTAATTGAAATAATCCTTACCTTTGTGTTGGAAGGTACTTGAGTTTATTTCTTGCATCTGCCTGCTTTAATGCAATCAAGCCATCTGAAGCTCTGGGGAAACTCAAAATGAATTCCTTCTGTTTGGTGGTGTTTGTTTTATTTTTTTTTCCTAATGCTACTCAGAAGTCTGATTTATGGCACTGTGTTTATTAGCTCTACACCTGAAATAACAATGGAAAAAAGTAAACCAAATTGCTTCTTATAATTACTAAACTGACTCTTTATTTTGTAAGAGAAGTGTTTCAGTAAACCCCAAAGCACATCACAGTACCAAAAAAAGTGTGTGTCTGTGCATTTGTGTAACGTATGCACACACTTCAGTATGTTTGACTTCATGTGTAGAGTCTGTTGCTAAAATTTATTTTGCTTTCCTTTGATTATGCTTTAGAACTTCTGCTTGAGCTTACACTTACTGTTTGTCTAGATCTTTGGCTGACTGATTTTCTTTTCCTTTTTTTTTTTCTTTTGAGTGTGGTGTCGTTTTAAACTTTTTTTCAAATTTTCTTTCTCCCTTCTTATGTTAACTTTAACCCCCACACAATTTCTGGCTGTCCAGCGTTCAGAACGCTTTCAGCTAGCTGCAGTTTTGGTGAATTTACTTCAGCTTTCCCTCTCCAGGCTGTACACAGTAAGTTCCACGCAGTGGAAAAACTCAGCTTGCTTCATTTAATGTCATTGTAGTATAGCATTTTCATTCCTACTGTTTTAGCTTATTGATTATGCTATTAGAAAGTTGTGTGTTCTGTGGTATGAGTGGAATCTTCAACCAACTGTTATAAAATGTGATACATACACTTAATGGAACAACTAATTTAAATTTAAGTACATGACCTGCCTAATTTAATTGTCTGGACACTGAAGAATTGGAAGGTCGTGGTTTCATATTTGAACTGAATTTCAGTTGTGTGGACCTAAGTCGGATTTGTAAAGTTGATTTATATATCTGGCATCAGTGGAGACTTAGTATAAAAGGACCTGTGTTGTGTCTTCCCCCTCACTTCTTTCCTCATTGGATGTAGTGCAAAAATCTGAGGACAGAGAACCAAACTATCTCTCTAAACCTTGGCATGAAATCGTACTAGTTTGGGGCTTCTAGGCACTGTTTTTTTGTTTAGAATGATGACTGACATCTGAAATGGTTAAACATTGTGCTATTAAGTAAATGCAAATAGTAGCTATTCATTAGACACATATGACAGGAAAATGAAGCTTCTGGACTATTAATATGAAAAATCCAGACAAATACTTATTTTTCTAGCAAAATATTATTGTTGAAGTTATTTTAACACCTAATGATTAAAATACAGTTTTTCAAGATCAAATTATGACTGATATAAGCTGTTGAAGTTTGGAGGATTTTTTGTCCTTGGTCTGTAGACTGAAAAATAATAATTTTTTTTTTTTTTCCTGATGATCCAATGTAACTTTGAAGGAATTTGGAAAAGGTCTTAAACGTGTAGGATGGGGCAGGGGAACATGTTGCCTCGTGTAACCACAAAGAGGTGGGGTTATTGTGTCATCAGCTACAGTTGGAGAGACTTTCTCTAGCTTTGGAGTGTTGATCATGTTTAACTTAATTTGTTACAGGTGGAAGTGCTGGATCAGTGAATGCTAACTTTGCTCACTTTGATAACTTCCCCAAATCCTCCAGTGCTGATTTTGGAGCCTTCAGTGCTTCTCAGAGCAACACAACAGCAACAGCAGCCAGTAAAGCTGCAGTGAATAAACCGAATCTCCAGTCAGCTGACAAATATGCAGCTCTTGCTAATTTAGATAATATCTTCAGCGCAGGGCAAGGTATTAAACTGTATTCTTTCAAGTGCTTAATTCTACATGTGTATGCTTACCACGAGGATGGCTGTGCTTGTCAAAATAGTAACCGTATTTCAAAATGTCCTTTAAGTTATCAGTAGAATTTCACTTCAGTGTACCCTTAATGTGTAAGATGTAAGCTTTAAGACTAACATGACTCCAAAAAGATGTAATGAGAAGACTGCTTTTTGGTATCCTACTTAGTATCAAGATGAATACTCTAAGTGGTAATATTACTGCAGTGATGAAAATATATAAAAATACAGGTCTATACTTTATATTTGTGCTAAAACCTATAGTGAAGGCTCTTGAATGGACAGCTACAGTTACTGCAGAGAACTGCCAGAGAGCATTCTTACCTCTCTGCAACAAAAAAATTGGGCTTTATATTTTAATGAACTAGTAGCAGTGATAGTTGGATTTAGTTGACTTTAAGGAGAAAAAGCTAGTGATTCTGTAACTCTTTCTTCTCAAATGGTGTATAAATACTTCTGTGGTTTGTAATATAGAGCTTTGTTCTGAAATGGATTATTTGAGGGTACGTGTTCTGTTAAATTTTCTAGTTAAAGATGACAGTAGTATTGAGTCATTATTTTCCAGGAAAACCACAGGCTCTTTGGAGCTGCAGAATATCTATAGAAGCATGACACTTAGCTAATAGCTAATGGCTTGTGAAACAATTTTTCTTCCTGTATGTCCTAGTGCATATTTAATTTTTAAGTCTAAAACTTAAACAACAGGGCAGAAGGTGAAACCATCTTCATCACTCTTAATCTGGTTCCTTTCTTTTTAGGTGGTAGTGATCAAGGAAGTGGCTTCAGTACAGTAGTGTCAGCATCAGCAGGTCCTGTGTTGTCAGCCCCAAATCAGTCAAGTGCATCTTCAGACAAGTATGCAGCTCTAGCAGAATTAGACAGCGTGTTCAGCTCTACAGCAACCTCTAGTAACGCATATACTTCCACCAGTAATGTTAGCAGGTACTTTGTTACAAGTAACTGATTTTCTACATTGACTTCAGCAATATGCAGAAAAGTAGCTCAAAGTTATTTCTCAAATCCATTTTTATTCCTTACCTAAATGGGGAAATGTTGAATGAGTTTAGAGGTAGTACTGAAACTGCATCCTTTTGTTTTAAATAAGTACGGCCTAATAGGGTATTATAAGATAAAATTAAGAATACTTTGTCAGCAGAATGTTCTCTACACCTTTCTAGTCATTGTGAAACCTGTTAGATGGTAGCACTTTCCTCTACAGATTATTTGCATGCATACTGAATCATAGCATCACCCCTGGCAAAAAATTATTCAGATATTTATGCTGCTGCCAACCTCTTGTTTTAATCATTGAAGTAATAAATACCAAACACCTGTTAGAGCTCTGCTTGGTATTGCAAGTGCCCCTAAAGCTTCTGCTTTGCAAACTTGATGCTGATGGCCTCAGATCAATATTCTTTCTCCTGCTGTTGGTGGAGATGACTTTTCATTGCTCAGCACTAGCTATAGCCTCTGACCCTGGTATCAGAGGCTCAGTTCCTGGCATCAGTACGTGCAGTTTGCAGTTTGCAAACTGCACGTAAACACTCCTGTTCTCTTTACATATCAGAAATAATTGTAAGTTGTATTTAATTGTTAAACAAGCAATTCTGACTTCACTGAATGTATGAATTATTTTCAGCAGTGCTTTTGGAACAGTACCCGTGGCTGCTACTGCACAGACACAGCCTGCATCTTCGAGCGTGCCTGCTCCATTTGGAGGTATATGAGTGTTACTAACACCTTTTGTGGACTGTGAGCAAACATCTTATTAGTTTTTAGTTGACAGGGGTATTCTTTGATACTAGTGATACTGAAGGTACTAAAGGATGCCAAAAAAGTACTGTTGTCATGATGCATTTCAAGTTAAGCATTTTACTATAAATTCCCATTTTCCTATTTTAGATATTTATGCATCTCTGTATAAAAGCTGTGTAAACTTAATGTGAGTCAGATTAGCTATTTTTAAAAGACTTTATTAAATAAAATGTTTTTAATCTTTCAGCAACACCTTCCACAAATCCATTTGTAGCTGCCCCTGTTGCCCCAGTGGCACCTTCAACAAATCCATTCCAGACCAATAGCCGAGGAGCAACAGGTTAGGAAAAAAACACTAAGTGTTTGAGAAACTTTCTTTCAACACTTGCATTGATTCTTTCTTCATAGCTGTGTAACTTGTTCCTTAAAGATTTTCTGTATTATCTATCTGTAGTCTATTTGACATGTTGTGTGTTTGTTCAATGTAGAGTACAATCCTTATGAACAGGCTCCAGAAATCAACTTTTAATATAAGTGATGTTTTTTATTGAGCTAAGGACGTTATTTTCCTGTTTCTGGCCCAATCCAAGGATTTCAAATGGTGGCCAAGAAAAATGTCAAAATGATCTGTTTAATATCTTCTATTACTACTTAAGTTATTTGTAGTCTGTGTATTACCAGTTGGGTACCTCCCAAGACTATCTTTGAAGCATGCTTCATAGCAGGTTGCCCTGAAATCAGGGATTCTTGAAAGCTCTGCTGCTAAGCTGGTACACTTGCTTTTTTAAATTCTTTCATTATTTCAAAGTCCTGAAAGTCCTCAAAACCAAATTTCTGAAGCTATAACCAGGAAAAACAAGGCTTTTTGGCTGTTATCTTCTCACTAGTCCACTTATTCAGTACACTGGTGGTATCTTTTATTTTTCTCTTTTGTAATAGTAAAGCATATGTTTAAATGTAATCTTTATGTTCCTTAATTACATTTATTTTTCTGGGGGAGGATTTGGTAGAACCATAATTCCATGGACAAAAACTTAATCACTTTTTTGAAAAAGCAGCTTGTACTTTTCTTTATAACACTTAACTTGGATTTATATGACTACAAGATTACACCAATTTTGCTCTCCAAAGTCATTGCTAAATTTTGGCACTTTCATCTATTAACTGGACTTCCACGGATTTAAATCTGCTGATGCATGCATTTTAACATTGAGTTGTGCTTTGCTTATTTCTAGGTAGGTTGAATGAAACAGAACAGGCTGAGTTAAAACTGAATTGATCAAATTCGTGTCCTCTGCTAAAATGAATTCTGGTTTTGGTCCCTTTTGAGATACTATGCAGCTGAACTTTTTTAGCTATTTAATGCTGAAAACATCTTTCTCTTTTTTTTAATCTCATTCCTAACTGCTATTTTGTATCATTGTTAAGAGCTTGTAGCCTCTTTAGATAAATTTGTTTGAATATGGCAACTCAGTATCCTTCTGTCTTTTTAAATTGCTATTCTTGGCTTGCAGAGGTTCCAATCCCTTGGCAGCTATAATTGATAAGTGCTAGGTGATGGGGATAATGACTATAACTAAAGATAATATTCTGCCCCTTTCAGTGTAAGGTGTAAACTTGTAGCTTGTTGTTCTACGCTAAGCTTTCTTCTGCATGAACTTTGCTATTAATTATATGGGAGATCTGTTTTGTAGCATCTATTTCTAACAGCTTTCTTAGCTTAATCTATTGCTGATCATGCTGTGGATGAATTGTTTGGTACATATACGTGTGTGCATATATATATATATATATATATATATAAAAAAAACCTAAGAAATGACTGTTCAAGAGTGTATAAATGATTTGACGTTGTCTGGTCTCTTTGTGGCTTCCATAAGGCCTCTCGGGAGCAATGCACTCTCACATATTTCCTCAGGCTCATTTTGGTAGGTGGCCACATTTGGTATCAAGTTTCTTGTGGCTAATTGTTCTTGCTTGTAAAAGCTTATTGATAAATATCTGGTTCTCTGCAAGTAGAATTTTGAAAGACTTTCCATTTTTTAAAATGGAGTGGGTGTGGGTATTTGGCAACTGGGCAAAGGGAGAGAAGATCATGCATAGACAACCTATTAAGTAACTAAAACAAAACCATTATTGATATCTTCCATGGTCACGATATAATGCTAGCAAGTTGAGTGACTTGAAGTTTCTACCAACAGTAGCTTGATGCCTTTTGGGATATCCCAAGTCACTGCTCATTTTGTTCTGCTTTTGTTTGCTGTTTTAGCAAGTTTTCCTGTCAAATCGCTTCTCTGCTAACTATAACTCGAGAAAAATGTTGGTACATTAGTTTTGCATGTACTTTGTCAACAATTTATGTATGTATAATGTCTTGCCCTTGAATAGTTTTGGGACAAATTTTTCAACTGATAATTAAGCTATATTCATTGCATACATTAATTTTTTTAAACAGTTGAACTTGCATAAAATTGAACTTGTAACATTTCAGAAGAAAAGTCCTGTGTCTAATGTGTAACGAATAAAATGGCTGGTGTCTGTATTTGTACCAGAAAAACTTCTATACTCCTTTCAAGGATAACTCCCAAAAGACTGAATAATGGTTTTGTTACTACATTTTTTGCACTTTATGTGCTCCTGTTTATTTGCTGAAGGCATATGGAATTGCATGTGAGCTGTGTGTTCTTTACTTGAAATGTTTAGCAGAGAATCAGATGAAAGATTTTGGGGTTTTTTGTTTTAAGTCTTACCTCAACAATAAGAGCGTTTGCAATAGGAACTTTGTGTGCAAATAATATGCATGGTGAGGATTTCCTTTAAAGTGACATTAAAGATGGGATGAAGAGAGAGGGGATGCATGTATCCCTTATGATTTTTTTTTTTTTAACTTGTAACTTCCTGTAATGCAGCTTGAAATAGGAAGATCCTTTCATGCTTTTCTCAGAAGGAGAAAAACAGAGGGGCTTATGCTGCCTGAAAGTGCTTGCTTCTGATGTGTACAGACTCTTACCAGAAAAACTTGGGGGAAGTATATGATAATGTAGAGAATGTAAAAAATAATTTCCTTTTCAGAAAGTGTGTCTGAATGTGCTGGATCTAGTAAATTTTAAATTATTCCATTTGTTTTAAAGTGCAAAAGTAAATTATGCACCTACTTGGCAGTGATCCAAGCTAACAAATCAGTTCAGTGGCTGTAGAAGTTGAACATAACTTCTATATGGTCACCAAGGCATTAGGAGACTTTTCTTAACATGGCATTGTAGTAATTTGTCTGATAAAAAAAGGTGATTTCTTAAAAATAATTGAATGGTATTTTTTTGCCTACCAGCAGCAACATTTGGTACTGCATCCATGAGCATGCCTGCAGGATTTGGAACTCCTGCCTCCTACAGTCTTCCTACTAGTTTTAGTGGCAACTTCCAGCAGCCCACGTTCCCAACCCAGGCAGCTTTCCCTCAACAGACTGCTTTTGCTCAGCAGCCAAATGGTAGGTCTAAACGTTGTAGATAATCTTGTTTAAATCAGAAACATGGAGAAAAAGATCCGTCTGTAAGTTAGCAATAATGGGTGCATATTTACTTCTGTATGAACTCAATGATAATATTGATGAGGGGTTCCCATACTTGTATTTTGGCTCTGTAGTTGAGCTTTCTGACTCGGATGTGTGCAGTGACATAACTGAAATTTTACCACAATCTGATACTAAAATTACAAGTATTCCCAGGTTTAAAGGGGTTTTATGCAAGAAGGATTGTTTTGTCTTCATTTTTGAGTGTCTGCAACAAATTATAACACTTTCTCTAACTTCATAGAACACAGGCAAGAGAAAATTGGAAAGTACTTTCTCCATAAATTTAAATGATGAAGTTGAAAAAAGTGCATATGTAGAAATTGGAAGTTGATTAGTTCCAAACAGTTGAAACCAAACAAAAAGCCCAGCCATTTTTTTTTTTTTTTTTTTACAACTTATATTCCCTGTAGTGTTTAAGTAGGATCAGTGCTGCTGATCGTGTAGTCCAAGCTTCCCCTTATTTTTGTGGGGGAGCTGCAGCAAATAACTCTTTGAAGATAGGTTACTCGTTAATAATACTTCTCATTTATTTTTCCAAGGAGCAAGTTTTGCTGCATTTGGACAGGCGAAGCCTGTAGTAACTCCTTTTGGACAAGTTGCAGCTGTTGGAGTATCTAGTAACCCTTTTATGGTGAGTTGTTGCATAATTTTGATAACTTCTGTATGTCTGAAGAAGAATAATCTTTAACAATGTAGACACAAAGATTTTTTTTCTTCAAATAAGGGAAGGCAGCATATGAATCTCCTAAACGCAATTCAGTATTATGACATGACATTTGTAGGGCTGCTCAAATCAAGAGATACCTGTATATCATGCTCTTACAGTAGCATAACTTGATAGAATCACCAAAAAAAAATCAGCAGTGTAAGAGAAATACTTACTAATAGGTTGTTTTCTTTTTTATATATCCTGTATATATGATTTACGATATGGGAAAAAAAATTGTAAAAATTTGTCTTAATTTCTTCTTTTGTCTTCCCCCAGGCTGGTGCACCAACAGGACAATTTCCAACAGGAAGCTCATCAACCAATCCTTTCTTATAGCCTTATAGACACTTTACCCAAAAGAACTCTTATGTGGTCACATAACATCTCTGCGCCTCTTGCACTGTTGTCTTGTTTCACTGATATTAGCTTTAAACACAAAAGAAGTCTTTAAGAAGTAAAAATAAAAGCCTGCATTGTGTACCTTTAAAAAAATTTTTAAAAAAGTAAATACACAAAACCCAAGAAAATCAACACCCCCACCAGGTAATAACGTGCAAAACAGAGGGCTGTGGTAACATCCTTGAACCTGTGAACTGGCAGGTAAAAAGTAGCGGTATCATGTATATTAAAATTGGCTAATAAGTTATTGCAGATACCACATTCATTATGCTGCAGTACTGTACATATTTTTCTTAGAAAATAGCTATTTGTGCATATCAGTATTTGTAACTTTAACACATTGTTATGTGAAAAATGTTACTGGGAAATAGATCAGCCACTTTAAGGTGCTGTTGTATCTCTTGGAATGAATGAGCTACATCATTTTAACCATTGGTATTGGAAGTCATGAAGTTAAATTGAAGGTTTGTTCATTTCTCAAAATGTTTTCCTTTCCTAAGAGCTCTTCTATTTATACATGCCTAAATCTCTAATGTTAGAGGGATACCTGTCTGCATAATAAAGCTGATCTTGTTTTGCTACAGTTTGCAGGTGAAAAATAAATATTAGAAAAAACAATTGTGTAGCATTTTTTCTGTGCAGTAACGTTTTATTGGGTTAAAATGTACACATTGTGAGTCATACACAGATGAGTTACCAAAAGTAATATGCTTGAAGGTGAGTTAAGCTTAAAATTTTCACATGCCTCACTTTGATAGGTTTCTTTGTGTCCTTGTGATTAAGCTTGCTGTTTTAGCTCAAGTGAAGTGACTGATTGACCAGGAAAACGTTAACTTAGATTATTTTGACAGAATAGCTGTGTAGTGAAGGATACTGGAAGCACTGAGGAGGGTAATTACTTGATAAATGGTTAGCTGCAAAAGACACTTAATTATGGATAGCCTTAATTGTGATCAGAACGGTATGTGTAATACCAGGCCAAGGTGCCACAGATGTAGTAGTATTCTTTTTATTTATTAAAAAATGATATGTATTAGTAAACCCTCCTGTAGAATATTACATTAATCTATTATCTCTTTATTTACTGGAATATTTCCTGCCATACTAGAATGGAATCTGTAGGGGGAGGAAAAAAGTCTGACTTGTCTAGTCTGTAATAGTAAGAAGGTTCAACAAAAATACTCTGGTGTAGAATTGTAGTTGGCGATGGTGTTTTAAGCACAGAGATAGCTTGGCTTAAGTTTAAGTGTAATACTGGAACTAAGCAAATAACGTAAATATATAATAAATACATAAATTCCAAGCTTAAAGATTTGTGACCAACTGGAGAATAAAATTCTAACAGCTTTCAAGATAATAGGAATAAATAAGATCAGATTGATTTTTAAGAGAAGGATGTACAAGCCTATTTGGGGCAAAAGTGAAAATTCATTTAACTCACATTTTTTTCATTTAAATTTTGTGTCAAAAGAGACATTTCACTTGTAATTAACTTGTAATTGTTTGAATGTTAGATATGCTTATTTCGAGGGTAGATGGAAGTTACTGTTGCTTGTAAAAATGCTTGTACACCAGGACTTTTGACTTCTGTTGCCTGCCTGTGCGGGGGTGTGTGTGTGGTAATTTCTGTATCTCTTTTTTTTTGAAGCTTTGGAGATCCCAAAGCAGGGGACAGGCAGCTTATACTAGCATTCCTCACTTAAATGTCTGGGTTTGTCCTGTTGGCATATTTAAAGTTAAAAGAGATATGAAGTCTGTCTTTTCTTTCTGATGACTGCTGGATGGGTTATGGTGTGTAGTTTAATTCCCAAGATTCTCTGGGAAACTCACTAAAAAAATCCTCAGCAATTGAGGGTTTCCAAGATGTTAGTGATGCCCTTGGTTTAACCACTGTTAGCATAGTATAAATAGCCATAGTTCTTACCTGTTGTTGGCCATTACCTGTTTGGGGATAGTAACACATAAATGCAGTAGAGGCTGGGGAACTGCAAGGGTTCAGAAAGACTTGTGGAACACTTAAACGTGCTTATTGCAGAGAACTTGACCAAATCAAATGTCTGATCATTGAGATGAACAGCTTTGTGGAAGGGGAACAGTCCTGTGCTCTCTTCACCTAAACTGATTTAAACTAAGCTTGGGGCAAGGGCTAGTGAGATCAGCATCTGCTGAAATTGCTCAGATCCAAATGAAGTTGATAACTGCTAAGAGATACTGAAATTCACTTAAGTATGCAAGGCATGTTGTTTTACATTATGCTGTAGAAATAGTGGAATACCTTATTTTTCATAGCTTCCTATATGCAGCCATGCCTGTTTAGTATATATATGTTCACTACTTTTGTCATACTCCAGACAAGTAGCTGAAGATCCTGTATTTTTTTGTCTCCTTTATATTGAGCAGAAACTGACACCATAGCTGTTTTGTTGATTAGGTTTTTTTTAATAGCTGTATTTACGAAATTCTTCACCCATGATTATAAATGTCTTTGCTTTAGAAATCTCTGCAGTTCATGTAGTTGCTCATGCAACTAGCATAGCTGCCAAAAAGCTATACTTGCACTAGTTTTTCAATATCATCTTCTGCTTTAACATCAAAGCACTTCACATAATTTCTGTACAGAGAGTTAAAGTTAACTTGGAGATTTTCTAGATTAACACTTTTAATCCTAATATGTCAACTCTTTCTGTGTAAAATGATGCTGTAAGAGGTACATCCTGAGTTCTACAAGGCCAATGTGATGCTCAGGTACTGCAGTTCAAAGTTATTTAATAGCTGCAAACTCCCAGGCACAGGTTTGAAACAAATGCTGAGGCAAGAAATTAAATTTCATCCTTTTAAAATTAGCTGGGATTCCTGAAAGAGAACTAGAAATATGATGCAAATATTCTGGTCTCTTGAAGTGAAAGCTCACTGGGGCATAAAGGCAACCTCAAACAGCTTTTAAAAGTGTTTTTTTAAGGAATGACTGACTGACTTTTTTGATTGCTGAATTGGGGGAATCATCAGTTACTCTGACTCTTGGGAAATCTGTAAGTTGTGAAGGAACACGATGGAATTTGCTGCTGTCTAATATAGTTTACTCCAAAGTGGAAACTACTGAACACAGTTGAAAGAATATTCCCTAATTAGCTTTAGTTATATCTAAACTTTTAGTTGTATTGTTTAAGACTGCCTTGTATAGAAGTTGAAGGGTCTCCCCATGGCTTAAAAAAGTATTTCAGGAGCTCTTCTGGTTTCAAAGATAAGTGTGTGTGGATCATGGTAGTTGTCAGACATAATTAATGCATGTGCTTATCGAGGCAGACACTCAAAGGGAAGGTTAGTGTCTTGTATTTGTACAAACTCACAGTTAAGCTGTCACTGCATCAGTAGCAGTTTACCTGTATATAATGATGTTTTCCTTACAGTTCTGTAACTTCAGATTTCTGAGTCCGTTGTCTGTGAGGGATCTGAAAAGACTGCATTTGGCCATTTGTAAACTAAAGTGGCAGTATTGCTATGCTACATAGCATTATAGTAATCCACCTTTGAACATCCTGAAGTACTGTCTTTGAGGAAAAAAAAGGTTTATTGATGTTTGTTAACTTGCTTTAAAAATGTGTCACAACTTCCAATTGAAAAAGTATTTTTGAAATTGAAAAAGTTTTCAAGAGACTTCTGTGGCAAACTTTCCAACAGATCACTGTGCTACTATGGGGCAACTGCTTCTTTAGATTCCCCAGGAATGTTTGAAGGTCTTAAGTCTATGACGAAACTGCCTGTAATTGAAATACTCAGTAGAAGTGAAAGTTCAAAGGTTGTGTTCTATAAGCTCTTCTGTTGTGAGGTTCAGGCACCTGTATGTATTTGTGCTCACTGAGCATCAATAGATATTTCGGTGTCAGATCACTAAACTTGGGTTGAAATAGAAGATTGTTTGCTGTTAAACTACTGGTGAAGAAAATGGGCAAAATGCATCATCCTGTTGACAAAGCACTTTATGCTGTAGGCGCTTAAACAGCTTGTTTCACTATTGACCAGTCTTGCTTGATTGAGCAGTGTGTTTCTCCTAATTCGTTGTTCAGATGATGCAGCCTTCTGTACTGCTGCTTGCAACCATTCCTTTTGTCTCTGTGGTTAATGATTAGTGTTTTCACCAGCTCCACTGGTATTTCTGCATTTGATGGAGATAATGGTGTATATGCTTCTAATCAGGAAAATTCCAGATATGAATGTAAAGTAGCTGCCATAAATGAGAAACTGCGAAATGGAGATGGGGAAGGAGGAGGAGGAAGAATCAAAAACGACTTTTGCTGTTAGATTGTAACATGAGGTGTCTCTCCACTGCTGCCTTCCCTTCTGTGTCACCCATGCCCCAAAATGGTCCCATCTTGAAAAGATTAAAGAAATCTAGGTGCTTGACTTCATACTGTAGGAAGTGTGCGGTTGTAAAAGGAGGGGGAGAGAATACTCTCGTTTGTGCTTCCCCTCCCCGCCTCAGTAAGGGAGGAGGACAGCAGCCCTGCACTTCCTGGCTCTTTTCTGAAAAGGTGAAAGCTAAAGACTTGGACCTTATTTAGTATATAATTTTAAACTTTTAGATTTAGAAATTTAATGGGGAATTATGAGATTAGTTAACTTTCAAAATTACGGTAATTTAAAGGTGCATCCAGTGAAACTATGTAACTTAGAATTACCCTAGTGATAGACTCACAGATTTCCTTTCAGCTTGCTGCTTGCTTCTGTTCAGGGTATTTTGACAATAAACTTGTGAATAGTAAGCCTTTAAATAAAATCCAAAACAACCCTGAGTGATATTTCACTTCCAGTCTATGAAAATATTTTTTTAATTATTGCAGAAATGCAAATTTGGCAGGACTAAAGGACAAGTAAGTTGGAATAGTTACTGCTAGTTCACTTGAAACCTGTATTTCAAGTGAGTAACTGTCCTAAGCTAGCACATTACCTGGTATCTTCCCGAAGGCTAATCTTGGAGTAGAAGCCTCTTGGAGGAGAGTAGGGGAAGTGAGAGCAGTGTGAGCAATGTAGCTTACCTGGGTGCTGATATCCAGGCCCAGACCTTTTGAATCTACAACAACAACAGTTAAAATTGTTTGAATCACCACTGCAACAAAGTTGTTGAAGCCAAACATCAAAGCATAACGCTCCATGCTTAGATTGACAGCGATCTGAAACCTGAAAATTAATGTACAGGTTAACCTATGGAGAACAATGACATTTGCAATTTACTTACAGGAGAAAGTTTGGGAATTTAATGTACACAGTGGATTCTTCAAAGGATAAAGCCTCATAAAGCATAATAGCCAAGACTGAACAGCTTCATTTTGGCAGAAATCCCTTGCTTTTCTGTCTTTGGCACATCCTACTTATCTCTTACTTATTTGAGTGGATGTTTGTGATAAAGGCCTTGTTCATTTATCATTTAGAGGATACTTGTACATAGATCATGGAACAGCTAAATGCAGAATAAGGTAATTTCTGACTTGGAGTGCCCTATTGTAATGGTTAGGTCATAATTTTAAGCATAGTTTTATGTAAGCTAGGAAGAATACATTCTGTTGTCATGACCTATTTAAAAATCTTATTTCTAGGGAAACTTACAGTAGAATTTTGATATATTAAAAAATGTGCCAGTGATTTAAATCAACTTAATTAGAACAGTTGTGTATTATACTTACGTTGCTATTGTTATAAGGAACATATAGCATGCTTTAAATGCAAGGTAACCGGCATAACATGCCCAGATGTTGTCAGTAAAGTGCATGAGAAACAGAGAACCAGCATCCATTGCAGAGAAAATTCCCAAAGTCAGTTCTCCAGAAAGGTCCCAATTTATTTTGATGCATCCAACTGCCATGGATGTTGCTGAACCTAAGAATTTTAAAGTAATAATTAAAACTCTGAAACATTATCATTCTTCTAGAGCCATTGCATAACTGTGTAAATGGATCATGCCAGGAGCTCTTGAGACTCTCATAGTGGGCTTTGATAATGGCGTGGCCTATGTTTTCTGTTAGTGGTGTAGGAGTCTTCTGTTTGGGTTTTTTCTCCTTGCTTATGGAGCCTTCACTGACTGAAATACTCTGGGAAAGTGTCTCGTTCCTAAGGCTGGAGGCAGCAGCGTAAAGTCTATTGTTACTCAATTTTTTGACAACTGAGCAAAAAGAAGAACAATCTCACCAAGCATTTTCTGCCAAAATATGCATAATTGGAGTTTAATTCCTTAATGTGAAGATCTTGATGAAATGAAAATCTGTTGCACTCCATGCTTCCTTTTTTCATGAAAGTGTCTTTTCAGTTTTTGATGAAAAATCTTATGAACTGCTCACAGTGCCTCATTGACCGTGGCATATAGTAAAAACCCTTCCTTGAGTGCAATATGGTTATAACAAACTCCAGTGCCTTGATTTTTTTTTTTTTTTTTTTTTTTTAACAATAATGATGAGGTTTACTTTTTTCCCTATCTCAATGGGGAGAAATACTTTCTACTCCTGTAAGAAGGTTATCCCTCTAGGGGCTTTTTTATGCTCCTTTAACACAGAGGCTCCTGTAGGTTATGAAAGCTCTTTGAAACGTGATATGCTGAGGTTAGTAGCTTAAATGCAAAAAGAAGTCTGGTCCAGGCAAGTTATACATCTGTGAGTTCAGACTGGAGTCCGGAGAGGATCCCTTGCCCAGATGTTTTCAGGCAGGCTAGCATACTAGTGCAAAATTGGACTTCAGTTGCTGGTTGTATGTGGTATTCATCAGCATTCAAAAAATCAGCAGGCCTACGTCTTTGGTCCATCACTGCTGTAACCAGAGGTTCCTAGTACTGTAAGTACTTTCTGTACTCTGAAACAGTATCAAGTGCCAGAGGGTGTAAAAGCAAGAAAGCCCTTAGGAGTACTGCTTAAACCAGTAGTCTTGAGTTTTAGAGTAGCATCAGTAAAATGCATTTTCATGCTGATTTCAGGAAGAGTAAACTGACAGTTCCCTGTAGAAAAGTGAGATAAGGCTCTTGGTATGAAGGAGACAGCTGTGTAAATGTGAGCTTCAAAGTGAGGGTCCATTGGTACTGCACAGCTATTCAGATGAAGTTGCACTTTACCCATATACCTTCTGCTCTGTGCCCAAAGAGGAATGTCATTTGCATGGGCCAAGTAACTGTACTGAGAATCAGAATGACTGAGTTTGGGAGACACCTCTGAAGATCACCCAACCCTGCTTAAAAAGCAGGATCAATTAGAGCAAGCTGCTCAGGATAGTGTCTAGGTTTTGAACATCTTCAGGGATGGAGAGTCCACACCTCTGGCCAACCTGTTCCAGTGTTATATCACCCTTAGAATAAAAATCTGGTTTGTTTAAATGGAACTTTGTTTAAATTTCTGCCTCTTGTCCTGTCACTGTGAAGAGTCTGGCTCTGTCCTCTTTACTCCTTCCTTCAAGTCTTTATGCACATTAATAAGGTCCCTTGTTTTCTCAAGGTTAAGCGACAGCAGTGCTCTCCATCCTCCTTACTCCTCCCCTTCACACTATTTATGCACTTTAAGGTCCCTTGTTTTCTCAAGGCTAAGCAATTACTGCGCTCTCAGCCCATCCTTGTGTGTCACATCCAGAGCCAAACTCATTGATCAGGATACAGATGCAGTCACTATTTGTTCAGGAGCACTCATCCTGAAATGACCTTTAATCCACTGTCTAAACAGGCCATCTAGGGCAATGTATCTCTTAATACGGTATTTTAACTCTTAAACCACTGAGCCTAAGGTGTATTTGAGGGAGGAACAGAGAAGGTGTCATTGCACAGGGTTTTCAAACTGCTTACTTGGGTCTTCATGGTCTAAACACAGCTGTAGATTTAAAACACTTAGCTGGAATGAAGCTCCCCTAAGAAGGAAAAGTTTATATTATTTTTTAGGATTATTTTTGAAGACACCACGGACAAATGTTGTAGAGTACAAACATGTTTTGTACATTGTTTGGGTGTTATATAGTGGAGGCTGTTCCTGTTGACCTTGGTTCTCATAGGAGATAGAAAGGCACCAAAGACATTGCTGAAGACTGCCATCAGCACAGGATGGATTAAAAGTTAATGATCTTTTACTTACCTAAAAAAGTTGCTATTGCTTCAACGGCTCCGTTGTACACTGCAGAGCTGTGAGAGGGGGCTCTGAAGTCCCACAGCACTTGGATGTAATTCAGAACCTGGTTAAAGCCTGCTGTAGCCAGAGCCCACCACAGGGACCAGTACAGAAGTTTCCTAGAGCTGTAGCAATCCCTCAGGTCCCTGCCCAGCTGCACCAGTACTCTGAGCATGTGACTCTGGGGTTTGGCATTCTCAGCCTGCTGCTCGGGTGCCGGTGCCCTGTCAGCAGATGCAGAGCTCTTGTCCTCTGGGCGGCTCGGTGGCCCGTCGGTGCCGCCTGTAGCCGCAGCTTTATCTGGTCCCGGGAGAGTTTCCGAGACATCTTTCCTGTGGAAGAACATACTCTTTTGGGGCATTGGGAGGAAAAAGGAGCACACCAATGCCAGGGACACGGAAGCCAAAGTAATGGCGTTCAGGTGAAAGTAGGATACACCTGCTAAGGAAACCAGCAGCTGCCCCAGCACCGCGGCAATGGTGGCTGCAACAAGCGTGATACTCCTGCAATAGCTCGTCACTCTCTGATAGCGATCGGTGCTGACGACACTGTAGATGTAGGCGTAATAGGCGACCTCGGTGGCTGTCACCATCCCGTAGAAGAATTCCACCACCTGCATGGCCGCCACTCCGTGTGCGAAGAGGAGCAAGAGCCACGTGATGACGAAGCTGATGCCCTGGAGGAGGAGGACGGGTTTGTAGCGCATGTAGTCTGTAATCAGGAAGACTGGGAAAAGGAGTGCAAGGTAGGAGTATGTCCACACTGGGAAAATCTGGTTGGTAACCTGGAAGAGAATAAAAGAGGAATATGTTTTAAAAAATACATTTTCGATGTTGGTTTTGAAGCTTTCTGATGATGGCATTGAAGGAACATAGTTGTGGTAACAGGAAACACCGAATTGTGTGAATTGTGCAGACTTAAACTGTCTTAAATTATAAAACTGTAAATGTATTCCTTAACAGGAAAATAGTGATGCTGGGCTCTACTACATAAACAGGTAGATTGGCTTAAAGAAGATTCTAGTAAAGGTCTGTCAAGAAGGCGTATTTTGACATGCAGCTGTTTAAAACTGTTATAACAGTGTTTGTGTCAGAGGAAAGTCCATCTAGCATCAAATCCTATTCCCCACAGTAGCTGAAAATGACTGCCTATTTAGTTTTAACTTTTACATTGAGTCACTGTATACCTTTGGTCACCTGTCTCCTTTGTTAGAAAAAAAAGTTGGACATAGCACGTGTGTAACTGTTATTGTTATCTTTACCTTCTATGTTTTCTTCAAATTTAATGTGTAAGAAGAAAGCAAGTCTTGGAACAGTATTTTGGTTTGTTTAGTTGCCCTTCAATGCATAGATACTCTGAAAAGACATTTCTTTTTCTAAAACCGGTCTGCATTTGGGTTGGAAGGTGCTGGGTACTGTTGCCACAAAAGCTCAGTGATTACCCAGGCAGCTTGACTACAGCCGGGCAGGTATCCCCTTAGATACAGTCACAGAAAAAGTTCACGATGTGCAAGTTGCCTGTTCTGGAGAGGTCTTACCCAGTAATTGCTGGACCTGCTAGGGTATCCGTTCATGATCACTCATTCTCTGCTTAAGCAATTGGACTAGAAAGAAATTGTTTCAAATGCTGGAGGAACAGTAGTAGGTGGTTCTCTTTTTACTTCTGAACTGGTACTGGAGTGAGTTGCATGGTTCACTATACCTTTCTGTGTAATTCCTTCTCTTTCTCTGAACTTTAATTAGAATTTTAAGTGTTTGACTGAAATTTAGGGAATTAGCTCACTAGAGGCAGATTTGGCTGAAAGAGCCAATATCTGTACTACACTTAGTTTTGAGTTAAGTATTCTTGCTGAAATCAGAATTAAGCCATCATCATCCTATTTGTCTGTTGCATGTAAGAGAGGAAATTTCCTTTTTTGATTAAAAAAAGAGAAGAAATAAAAAAGGGAGGAAATCTCCCCCAACAATACAAACTATGAATACCTTTTTTCACAAAAAAACTTTAGGTTGACACTATGTTAGCAGGCTCTGCCTTAATTTTTGCTACTGCACATCAGGAATGACTGTTCTTAGTATTAGCTGCATGTGGGTGTATCAAGCCTGTGTTTTCTAATTATACAAGTAGCTCCATGACTCAGCCACTTGTTACCTACATCCTCTTTTGTTGGGAAGTGTACTTCTGAAGCAGCCAGTGCTGAACAGAGGAACAGAGCAAGAAAACTTGCAGTGCATGCTTTTGACAAAAACAATATATTTTTTGAATGCGAATCTGACCTCTGCAGGTTAATGAATGCATAAACCAGCCCTGTATCGTAGGTAGTAATCTAACAGCTCATAGGGGGAAGTCTGGTTTTCTATTGATTTGCAATCACTATGTCACTGTCAGTGTAATCAATTTCTCAGTAAGTATAAATAAATCTTAGTGTTGCCCCTCCTCTGGGGTTCTAGGTGGAAAGAGCTGACCTTATTTTGCTGAACATATCAATTTCTTAAACAACTACCAAAGTGGTTTTAAAGTACTAAGAATGTAGGCACTTTAAAATTTTGACCTTCAACAAAAGAGGTAATTTCATACTCTTTTTTTCTGTAGCATCTTAAATAGGAATCTCTAAATAAAATATACCTCTATTATCGAACACTTAATTTATCCGTCAGTTATTGCTCTAAGTCTTGATGCTTTAAGCACTGTAATTATTACTTAAGCGAATAGTTACGTACCTCTTCAATTGTTAGGTTTTTGTCTGGTCCAGTTAGATAGGGAGTGAGAAAAGATTCTGATGGCCTCATGGTGGAGAGAAATCCATTCGCACAGATGATCAGCGTGGGATAAATCCAGCTCTGGCCTATGGCTCCCTTCCAGCAATCCATAGTCTACCTAAAATGCGAAGGTAGTGAAGAAATGAGCACACCAGGACGTTTATAAAGATGGTCTTCGCAGTTGATAAAAATTTATTTTCAAGTTTACTTTTTAACTTGCCCTACATCAGCTAATGTTTCTCTTACTAACCCTGCCAGTGATCACAGATGCAGCTTGTAAATGAACAACTTGGATCAAGGTGCTGGTGGTGATAAACTCCAGTCTCTGTATTGTCTATCAAAGGTTGTTCTTAATGACATACTTAGAAGTGAGTGGATGTATCGTAACGGAATAATAAAGTTCCATTACAGTCTCATTTCCGAATAAATGAGTAGGCAAACTGTGAGATTAAAGCTCATTCTCAGCATGTTCAATGAGGCTTTTTTTTCTGTTGTCAGCCTGCGTGCCAAGTGGAACAATAGAAGTGCAAGTCTTTCTGTAGACAATAAAAGCCATCAGCCAGCTCACAACCTATTGGGAACTTGTTTTCTTCAAAATGCTTTAATACTCATCATATTTCTTGCACTCCAGTCATTTCAGTGGGTAAAGAAAGATGCAGAATCTATCTGCTCGTGGTACCTGCTCAGACTTAGAAACAAGGAATCTTGACTTCACATTTGAAAGTGATGAATGAGACTTGTTTCTTCAACGTAGTTAACAGCAAAAAGAAGTCTAAAGAGATTTGTGGGTTTTAAGCTTATTTTACTTGTTTTGTGTTAGAAAGTCAGTTCCACTGTTCCTGGAAAACAAATGAAACAATGTTCTGAAATGTAAGAGAATGACAGCAAAACACTGGCTGATGTTTAATCAATCTGTTACAAGCTATTTCTCTTAAATTGTTGAATTCCATTTTATAGCAGGCACTTTTTCAAAAGTGCTTCTACTTGCACTGTGAGATTGTATTTATTAAAACTTAGCATAAATAGTATGTTATTAAGGCAGTATTTCTGTGACCTCAGAGGAATGTTACAAAAACTAGCCCTAACCTTGAAACTTGATTTTAAATTATTGCCTCTGATTATCATCTTTCTCTTACAAATCATTGTATGTAAAATATAGCCTGTATTATCCTTAACTCTAGTTCTGCTCTGAAATCTATCGGTATCTGTTATGTTTTCAAATAAAAATATATTAAACCCTGGACTGATCGATAACATCAACATGAATCTTGCATCATTTCCAAATGCACTGAGCAAGTGAGTGGCCAGCACATTCCCAAATAACTCTGAAGGTAATGAATTACCTGTCAAAGCTGTGGCTGTGGTGTATTTGCTGTGGATTCGTGTGCAATTTCCTCCTAGGTTGACTTTCTGTCTTCTGGAAGAGAAGTTGGAAACCACCTCTTAGGATTGGAGGTAGTAAGAAATTTCTGTGTCTTTTTGTTTCCTAAAAATTCTTTCTAAACTTGGTAAAATATTTACAAAATTTAATAATAGTAATTCATTACAGCTCTTCTTGCTTGCAGGACTTGTCCATGGGTTGCAGAGAAAGCTTCTTCCTTTACAGGTTTTGTCAGCAGTCTGAGTTCTAATTTAAGATAAAGTTTTAAGACTCACAGTAGCTAATGATTAATAAAAACTAACAACAAGGAAGCAATCACTTGACTGCATTTTTGTGTTAATAAATACCTTTAAAAGCTTTGGTCTTTGACTCACGGATAAGACACAGCACCCATTTTACAGTCTGGGCTGATGCTGACCCTCCCCTGCACATAGTGCAGCGGCCTCTGGGCTCATGGTGTCTCCTGACTATCCTGGCTTTGCTGGGAGCGCAGGGAGGTAGGACATCGAACACCTCATACTGTTAGTTGGCCAAGAATTACTTCTATATAGGGACTAATCTGCACTTAAGGGCAAATGGACAAGAAGATCTAGATAGATTCTAAATCTAGGTTTTAAGCTAAAAAATCAGAACAACTGCTTCAGAGAAAATGATGCTTCTTTGCTTTTCTTTACTCAGTTCTTTTAGACTTGACTCCCTACATCTTCCAAGGTTCCTCAGAGGATGGAGCTGACCCTGAAGCCTGTGTTGACATTGGGAGCAAATGGTGTAGCCCTGGCAGGATGGTGCCCATGTGCTACCCAGCGCAGCTTTGTGAGCTGGACACAGCCTGGTCTTGTTCTACATGCATGGAAACATCTCGTGCTGCTTCAAGTGTGTAGTGCAATGAGGCAGGCAAGTGTTCAGAGAAGCCAGGCTTGCCTCTGTACTTCATTCTCTTTTCTTTACCTATGGCTTCTGAGAAAGGAAAAGAACCACAGGGAAGATGCTGCTGGGTAGGTCTACGAGCCTGCTGAAAGGTGACTGCTGACTGGCCTTTCTCTGGTATCCTGCAGAGTGTTTGGTTAATACCTGCTTGCTTAGAATATGAAGATACAATTGGCTTGAAGGGGGTTTAGCTATGGGGAGCAATGCACTCAGCTCTGGATTTTCATAGTTACATGGAATCTTTTATCATGCTGGGAGAAAGATAAGTACTTAATACTAAGAGCTGCAAGGAAAGGCGGATTTGTTCAGCTTCGTTTTCCTGCAGAACTAGAGCCTGTGGTTCCAGCCTTGCTTGTAACCTGCCAAGCCTCAACTGTCTCCTCTCCAAAGAGTGTGTATGTATGTGAACACACAGGCAGATGTGCGCATCTTACTGTTTTGAATGGAATCTCTGATTGCTAGGTTAACAGCAATTTGCAGCTGAAAACCGAGGGTAAGATAAGGCCTTACCTTTCTCTTGCTGTTGTTTTTGCCTCCAATGTGTCGTGTCCCTACTAATGCTCCTAAGAGCTGCCCTCCTCCTTCCCTAATTCCTCTCCTCTCCCCTGTTAAACGCTCCCCACAACTTCCAAACTCAGAATTGTTCTTTTGGAAAATTGAGAGAATAGCAATAGATTTTTTAAAATTTTAAAGTCTTAAGTGTTTTGTGAAGGTATTATTCTCTACAGCTGCAAAACAGATACACTGTGTCTACTGGGTTCCTTTGCTCCTCAGTGACATCCCATACACACAAAAGACAGTGAGCTCTGACCACTTCAGAAAGGAAGAATTTTTATGGTTATTTCTACCAGTTTTTCTAGCTCCTTTCCTGCAGCTTACTACTGCCATTATTTTTTATTAACAGCAAAAACTTCACATGTTGCGGATTCCTTTCCTTTTGTTAGATGCTATAGAGAGAGGAATATTTAACTTTCTGTACCAAAGGCAGCCTGAGGTCATGGAGCTGGAAATATCAAGTTCCTCTTTTTCATCTAAACCCAAACTCCAGTTAGCTTCTAGTCCAGAACTAGCACCTAGTTCTTTAAATAAATGACTCAAAAGAAAATTCCTACTCACAAGGAAAAGTAAAACAAAATAGTCCTTGCTCTGCTGGATTTTGTTGCCATTTCTTCAGGTGGGAATATCATGCCCTCAGTTCTGCAGTAGTAAAAGATACTGTTTAGTGAAGACTATGTACATGTCCTGCTTAGAGCCAGTTTACAACAGAGAATGTCCATGCAGTGCACAATAGTAAGCAAAGACCCTAGAAAATTAGCTAGGTTCATTTGGTCAAATCCTACCTATTATTCTTGTGACTTGAAATAAATTGTTTCTCTCCTGCTTGCTCTCACCTCTGGGCAGTTTGCCTAGTTGCGGTATGTGACAGTTGTATCAAAAGCACGTATGTCTGTACAAATGATAGCTTGTGGCTCTACAGGAAAAATACCGTTTTCCAAATGCTAAGTATTTTCTATTTTTATTAGTTAGATGTAGGTATTGAAAGCTAGAGGCAAACAACAGTACAGAAATAACTTTAATATATGGATATCATATTAAATTAGGCATTCACTATGCAAACTCATTTACAGCCTTTTTTCTTATCCTGGACTAAATGTCCTATGTGCTGGACTAAATTAACCATAGGACTTGAAGCTTCTTGATAAATTCGGAGGTGCTGACCCTGACAAACCCTTGGTCAAGGTCAGTGGACCTCCCTCATCTGGACTCAAAAGCACACATGATGCTAGCTTTTTCAGTTATAAATTTTCCTGGATATTTGTGTCAGTCTGAAGTTTTCCTGTGCAGAATCAGCCAAATTTCTCCACAATGTACTTCTCTGGCTTCAGTCCATACTACTCAATCCCTTTGATTTTATTTTTTTTCTTTTTCCTGTTGAAACAGGAAGACACTCAGTATTGAATTTACTTTTACTGGAGGCACAAGGAAAGGAGCGGAGCTCGCTCTTTTTTTTTTTTGACTCTGAAGTTTTTCCCTTGTAGACTGAGATTGCTATGGACTCAGTACAGTGTTTAGGTTGCAGCTTTCAAATGTGGGCCAAGCAGTAACTGTGGCTTAAGCAGTGTCTTAGTGAACCTTCTCAGACAGGTTGTACAAACCCTGCTTTTCTGCACTGTTGTGTGCAAAAGGCCCACTTCTGACATGGGCTTTTAAATTAGAAAGGAGGAGTCTGTCAGTGAATTGCCTATAGGTAGGTAAGAAAGAAAATAATGATGCAAATGCAATCCCTTCTTCCTTGGTTCAGAACAAGGTATGTGCAAAAGGGGGGATAGACCCTTCACCCACATGCATGAGCAAATCTGCATGGAAGCAGCTTGCCAACACCATATACAAGAGCTGGAACAAGCAAGGGCAGGGTGAATGCTGATCTTTGCCATCACGCATGGTGGGATTCAAGGTGGTTGTTCTATTCTTGTGTATAAATTACTGCTGATAACCTATTTATAGGCAAATAAGTAAGAATCTAAAGCAACTTATCTTTTCTTCTTGGCACAGGGCCATTACGGTGATCCCTTAGCTGGCATATGTTGTAGTGAAGTGCTGTAGCAATTCAGCATAGCTTTTCAGGGCTGTGTTGTACATTCATCTTGCACTGCTGTTCCCTGCATGCTGCAGCAGGAGCTCTTCTCCCACACAGGCCTGGCCACGTGAGCCTGTCTGTCTGACTCCTACAGCCGTGTCATGTAGCCAGTTACAATCTGCTCTTCTGATTCGTGTTCAGCATGTTTCAGATGATCTTTGCAAGATCTTGCTGTCTTCCTTTTGCATTTGCTTGAGACAAGCATGAAAATGCTTCTGACCAAGAAAATCCCAGCTATGACTGCAAAGTAGCTGGCATAAATCAAAAACTGGGAGGGGGAGAGAAAAAGGCAGAAGAATTAATGAAAAACACATCAGGGAAATGCTACTTCTTCTGGAGATGACAGACACTCTATTACTTTGTTTACCTGCATTCTGGCACAGTTTCTTATGTTCAAGTTTTTGCTTTGTGATTAACCAAAGTCTTAGCTTTTCCAGCAAACAGCAGATCTTTGAGGAATGAACTGCCCCTTGCTTCTAATCCTTATGCCTCTTAATAAACATCAGAGGATGGGAGGGATAGGAACAGGATTTTTTCTGTTAGTGCAAAATGTAGAAGTAGATTCATTACCCACACAGTCATGAATAATTTAAGTGAAGAGAATGAGTTGGTCCTTTTTTGCTCTTGCTTGCACATTTCAGTGCTATCATCACACTGGCTTCAGCAAATACATCGTGACTTTGTATCAATATTTCCAATAGCGTCAAGGCTATTTATGAAGTCCTATATATTCCTGTCATCCTCTTTAAAGTTTTATTTTTTAGTGTTTAATTCAATCTTTAATCTTTTAAGGTAACTTTTGACTTCTCTGTGCAGAATATCTGAATAGCCTTAGGCTTCAAATCTGTGGGGGCAGGAAGCTGCTCCAGCTGAGATCCCATCTGAGAAAATGAGGAATTTGGGACATTTCAGTTGACTCCAACATGAGTGGAATGGGGATGACTGAAGTTAGGGACACTGTTGTGAGATAGGATATCCCACCCCAAATTAAGTGCTCAAACTCTGGGTAGAAATCTCTATGATTCACGTTAAGATACTGACCAGATTTGTTCCTAAACTGGAATTAGCAGGCAGGTGTCCTTTTCACTTGACCTGAAATAAATCCAATAGTCCAGGCTGTGTCTCGTCTTGAACTCCCCTATTAACATGTAGTCATGTTGATTCTGCATCTGAGCCTGAACTTTTGGGCAGAGAGGTTGTTATTTGGTGTGCTGTTAATTATCAAAAGTTGGTCAGATAGCAGGGTCTGATTATTTACGTTCTTGTGTATCTTCCTTTAAAAAGTCAAAGACCAGCATCTATAATTTTAAATGCTGCACTAAAAGGCAAAAGGAAGAATGATGGCTGATACAAAGGAAGAGCAAGATGTCTAGGTTTCTATAGAAGAAAGAAGGAATTAAATTATCCTTTGGCATAGAAATTTCTTTCTTGGTAAACTTTTGAAGATGAGCGCACTAAGCAGTAAACAGGAAGTAAGTTAATAGCACTGACCTGAATCACTATGTCCAGTCCCAGGCCTCTTGAATCCACAACGACTACTGTAAGAATGGTCTGAATCACCAGTGCAATGAAGTTGTTGAATCCAAACATCAAGGCATAGCGTTCCATGCTCAGATTGACTGCAATCTGGAACCTAATGTGAGACTGGCAAATCAGTTACTTCACACTGGGTGGAAAGCTGTTGCTCTTCATTTAGTTGATGAAAATAAATGATTCATGCAGATGATATATCAAGGACATAGTAGATGGTGCTTCAATTGTTTGTTTGCTTTCTTGCTTTCTCTAAAAAAATGTCTTGACTACCATAGCATATTTTGACATTTTTGTACTTGTCTGTGTTGCTTTTCCAAACCATGTTATCAGGTGATATTCTTTACCTAGTAGAGTATAGCTGTCTTTAACCTTCCCCTTTGTTCCTTTTGTACCTTCACAGACTGTGCCAGACAGGTTGTGAAGTCTCCACAGCTGGAGGCTTTCAAAGACCTCGCCAGAAAAAAACACGACCTGATCTGGCACTGGCAGGAGTCCTGTCCTGGCTGGGAGGTTACACTAGAAGGTCACTATGGGTATCTTCCAACCAACTTCTCTGTGATGCTGTGAATCACTTTTTGCTTTGTGGCTTTACAGTGGAGGTAGCATGCTGTTTTTTTCTGTCAGTAGCCTTGAGATTTTTCCCTTCAGCATTTACCTCCAAAGCTTCTATCTGAACAAAAGGGTGCAATTCCTGCAGTACTCTTCTAATGATTTTTAGCAGGATTTTTTTTTGTGCAAGCTTTTACTTTTTTTTTTTTTTTTTTTTTTTTTTTTAGAATACTTTGAAATAGTCCAGGTGTGATCCACTATAATGTACTAACAGTCCACCAAAATGAAAATTCACTTGGCTTCATTCAAGATAGGTATTATCTTGTCATGCATTATGGTTTTAGTAGCTTTTTAAAATGGTACCTGCATAATTTTGGGTTTTGATACAAAAATGCATCTGGTATTTTTGTTAATGAAATAGTGCAGTATGTCTAAAGACATGCCAATAAATAAAATAACTGGAGTAATAAAAAAAATATATTTATTACAGAGATTATATATTATCTTTGTTATTCATATTATTTTTATTTTTCTATTTCTAACAACAGAATAGCTTGGTCCCCTAAGAGATCTTATCTGAGTTTATATGTCCAATGTTCTCTTTTGTTACTTCTTTACATCGTAATATCACTAAAAATTATATGTATAAAGTTATGTTGGGGCATACTCTATGCCAAATCTTTTCTTGCAATCATGCAGTTCATAGCATGCTAAAAAGTGTATCAGCAAGGTGCTCTAGACATAAGGGGATCTTCAATAATGTTTGTCAAGACATGCTTGTCCCTACTGTTCACTTTGTATCTTCCATGCCAGGAAGGAAGAAAACAGCTTATATGTTTTGCTGTTACTATTGCCTTTTGTAATAAAGATAACTTGTACCTTGTTTAATTTCTCCCTCAGTAAACGTTCAATGTCCTTTTGATAATTTTTCTTTTATGGTTGTTTAGAAGAATGAAAAAAACAAAACTAGACACTTAAGTGTCTTTGTCTTTATGTAAACTGTTATGTCTAGCATTAGATCAGCTACCTCTGAGTAAAAGGAGGGAAGTCCATAGTAAACTTAAAGTATGGTTAGTATTCTGTATATAATGGCAGCACTGTAGATTTTATACTTACGTTGCTATTGTTATGAGGAGCATATAGCATGCTTTGAAAATGAGATAGCCAGCGTAACATGCCCAGATGTTGGTAGTGAAGTGCATGAGAAATAGAGAACCAGCATCTATTGCAGAGAAGATCCCTAAAGACAGTTCTCCAAAAAGGTCCCAATTAATTTTCATATATTGTACTATGAAAGATGTTACTGAGCCTAGAAAAAGAGGAAAAAACCCATGTAAATATTATATGTTTTATAGTCTACATCACGAAGTCTTGCAACCCTCACATGCCAGAAAACAATGCTGAATAATGAAGCAGAGTAGTTCTGAAGTGTTTTGAAAGCATTTCTAAACACTTCTGAAATCATGCAGATGACCGATCATTTTTAGACGACTGCATAAATTGAGTCTCTGCCATTTCATTCTTAATGTTTTATTCCGTTTCACAGGATAAACCGTTACGGAGAAGGTTTCATGATATAGCTGTCTGTACCCAGCATGTATCTCTAGGGAGAGAATTAGGAACACAATAGAGCTCAAGAAGAACAATTCTACCAGCTTCTACTAGCTTACTTTATAGCTAAGCTAGTAAACCTTCTAGCCTAACGGTTTAGCTCTGTGCAGATCATAAAGGGGCTAACCTGTCAATAAAGGGTTTTGTGAGGTATCAAGTGTGAATACATTCAGGGAAATGAAAAAGGATAGGCACTGTTTGCTTTTGGTGAGCCTGCTACAAAGGCACATCTCTTGTGAAGGTAAGCCACCTGACTATCCATAGGAGTAGCATACAATCTAAAAACTTCTACACCTCTGCACTGAGAAATAGGCAATTCCATGAAAAAGAAGAATTCATCAGGGAGTATATGCTACAGGAGTTAAGTGTCCCTACTTAATGATTCAGTTGATCTATTTAGTTGCCTGCCTCAAGATGAGAGTAATTTTTAATCTTAGAAGTATCTGTATCTCTTAATGGTTGTAAGGGTAACCTGAATGACCAGGTATGATGTAGAAGTGCTTATTTTCTCTGGTTGATCACACCCCAATGTCTTGTGCAAGCTCTCTATAGCAGCACAATATGAATATGTGAAACACTGCCAACTCAGGGATGTATCCTCTGGTGTTACCTTTCTGTAACATTACTTTGCCTGTGTGGTGTGGGCATCTGCTTCCAGTGCAAAAGCACAATAGTTAACATTAGTAGTGTGACGAATTCAATACAGCCTACTGCTGCAAATCTCTATTGCTTGGACTGACTAAAATTCTTCTTTCTGTCCTGCTGAACAGGAGTATTTCACTAGAAGAAGATCTTAATGAGAGGATTATGTTCTTTTTGTGTAAAATATTTATGAAAAACTTCTCTCATCTGTGTAAGCTGATACCACTGTTATGGGAAATGTGTGATACTTGTTTGGGGAAAAGAAGCCAAACAACTTCATCCAAAGAAACACGGGTGCCTCTGAATGGATTTAGCAGCTGGATGTAGTCTGCATGATCTGTACACTCTCTGCGTACTGGTAGGATAAAGTTGGGTGTCCCGGTCCTAAAGAAAAATAGCATAGCTTGCATTTGAACTGTTTTGCACATCAAAGAACGAGGTCTTGAATGCACATTGTATACACTGCCTTCCTGGCGTGCCTGCAATGGAATGGCACTTTAAAAGTCTTCTGAAGTAAAACTTTAGAGACAGCCTTTGTGATTGAGGCTTAGACACGAACTTACTCAGAAAAGTTGCTATTGCTTCAACGGCTCCGTTGTACACTGCAGAGCTGTGAGCGGGGGCTCTGAAGTCCCACAGCACTTGGATGTAATTCAGAACCTGGTTAAAGCCTGCTGTAGCCAGAGCCCACCACAGGGACCAGTACAGAAGTTTCCTAGAGCTGTAGCAATCCCTCAGGTCCCTGCCCAGCTGCACCAGTACTCTGAGCATGTGACTCTGGGGTTTGGCATTCTCAGCCTGCTGCTCGGGTGCCGGTGCCCTGTCAGCAGATGCAGAGCTCTTGTCCTCTGGGCGGCTCGGTGGCCCGTCGGTGCCGCCTGTAGCCGCAGCTTTATCTGGTCCCGGGAGAGTTTCCGAGACATCTTTCCTGTGGAAGAACATACTCTTTTGGGGCATTGGGAGGAAAAAGGAGCACACCAATGCCAGGGACACGGAAGCCAAAGTAATGGCGTTCAGGTGAAAGTAGGATACACCTGCTAAGGAAACCAGCAGCTGCCCCAGCACCGCGGCAATGGTGGCTGCAACAAGCGTGATACTCCTGCAATAGCTCGTCACTCTCTGATAGCGATCGGTGCTGACGACACTGTAGATGTAGGCGTAATAGGCGACCTCGGTGGCTGTCACCATCCCGTAGAAGAATTCCACCACCTGCATGGCCGCCACTCCGTGTGCGAAGAGGAGCAAGAGCCACGTGATGACGAAGCTGATGCCCTGGAGGAGGAGGACGGGTTTGTAGCGCACGTAGTCTGTAATCAGGAAGACTGGGAAAAGGAGTGCAAGGTAGGAGTATGTCCACAGTGGGAAAATCTGGTTGGTAACCTGGAAGAGAAGAGAAAATCTCTGCGCTGTTATTCTTTGGGAAATGAAGATCATTTATTTTAAATAGCACTGTAGAAGGAGGTGTTTGCTCTGAAGAAATTAAGAAAACATGACCACAATGAAGCGGCATGTGACTTTTGAGCCAGCAAATGGATCTTAAATCCATTAAATTGATTTTTTTTTTTTATTTATGCCATCTGCTACAAATTGTAACCTTCCAAAATTGGTTACAGTTGTGTGCTTTTTTTGGTTATTATAGTTGTTTAAAAACTTTAAACAAAATTTTACTTTTTTATTTTTGCTGCTCCATATAAAAGAAAAGGGAGAGTGAAACCATACCTCATCCATGGTCAGGTTTTTATCTGGTCCTGTTAGATAGGGTGTTAGGAAAGGTTCTGATGGTTTCATCATGTAGAAGAATCCATAGAGGCAGAGGATCACAGTGGGAAAAGTCCAGGTGTTGCTTTTCTCTTGCTTCCAGAAGCCCATGGCCTCTGCAACAAAGCTGAAGAGAAAGTTTGTTAATAGAAGGATGATACTGCCTGTGCAAGCACAAAGATGTCTTGTAATTGACTTTTATTTTGTAGTTTCTAATGCTAAGGAGTGCTCTTTAGAGGCTGGCAGGTGGACACATTTTTCTTCATAATGTTAAGGTGAACAGCTTTTCCTTATATTTGTCTGCTCTTTCTCCAAGAATGACTTGGAAGATGTGAGAAAAATTACACTGTCATTCAATCTGCACTGACCAAGGTAACCACAGGAAAAGCTTTTCTAGACAAAAGTCAGTGAAGACAGCTGAGCACTGAGATTTCACATAACACCATGACTGGTCACAGCCAAGCACCTTGTTGAATGACAAGTAACTAGTTCACAATTGCTATTTTTTCTCCTTCACTTCCTAGATGTGCATTGCTTTCCTATTGCAGAAGAGCTGGTAACTCTGGAGCATAACAGATGAGACTTTCTAATGAATACAGAAAGGATGTCAAGCCAGATAGATCATCAGCTGGAATTAACTGCATCAGAAGTCCAGTTTGGATACAGACATCTTATTTTCAATCTATAAAAAACATCTGTGGTCACTAAAGGTAATAGTTCACACTAAAATTAAATGAAGCAACATTTTTGCTCTTATCTCTAGCTCAGACTTATGGATTAAATTAGACTTTGGAACTCTGCTGTACAGAGCCCAAAGAGAAGTCAAAATGAGTGTAATGGGGGGGCACACAAAGAAAACAGACAATAAGTAATACTCCGTATTTGTGTTGGTATAAGCAATGTCAGGAATCTAAACCTGTACAATTTATATCTTTTGGAGCCCTCTGGAGGGTGCTTGTTATATGCTGGGATTTCCATCACTCTGCTTTTGACTACCTATTTACCTCCTGAGAACATTTTTTTTCAGGCAAATGTTTTAATCTTAAAAATTAAGTATTTTGCCAGCAGCGTTCTTCCTAAAACTTTTTTATAAAGTTGAAGAAATATCTCTTCCAAAACAACCAAAAATGTTCATGTACCTGTTGACTATACCACACTGGGTGGGCAGAGGATTCTCTTATAGGGTGTGATATATAATGTATAAAGCAGCAGGCATTATGCATCTTCTTTTCTAACTTCACACCATGATAGCACATTTTATTAATGGCCAAATGCACTAAGAAATGGGTCCAGCTCAAAGGGAATTTGAATTATTTCATTTTATGCAAAATGGCTGAAACCACTAATATTACAGGATTTACAGCAGAAATGAACTTCACTCTGTCAGCTCTGCAGCGTGAACCACTAGAGGGCAAGATGACCCCAGTAAAGGAAATGTGTGCGTTGGAGGAATGTGAGACACATTCAGAGTACTCAAGCAAAGAAGCATTTCTGTCCTTCCTTTCTCCCCAGTTGTTGTAATAGCTCCTGCTGCAGACATGGCTTTAGCAGAACCAGTTTTGGCCCTGCCCAGGATTACACTCACTTAGTCATGATAACATACTCTCACTCTCCTTTCACCTGATTATCATTAAAGCATTACACCTCCCTAATGCCATGTGAATGCCTCATGTGGTACTGAGAGGTTCTGAGAAAGGCATCAAGAGGAGGAGGGATGGAGAGCATCTCTAGCACTGTAGTGAATAACATTTGTACAAGTTAGCTCTGTGATTTAGACAGGTTATATTTTCCCCTTCCCAGCCTAGATTCTCTGCTCGTCTGTTTCAGGTCTTGCCGTGTTTGCTTTCCCCCAAGCTGGCTGTGTGACACAAAGGCAGCAGGGCTCGTGGATCCTTTCAAAATGTCCCTCACACTGGGAGGTGAGTGGGGCAAACTGCTGCATTCCCAGGGCTTGTGGGGTGCTGTGTGCTGCACCTCTGATGCTGCCCATCTGTGGCAGGGCTGTGCCATCGTGTGCAGTAATTTCTGCTTTGAGCTATATACAGAAAATAGTCTCGCTGCATCCCTCCAGTCCCAGCACATGCACTGTTTGTGGTTTTCTGCTAGACATGTACCTCTGTTCTGTAGATTTACTCTTCAAGGTGTGGGTGTTAGGCTGGCAGGTAAGTCAGATGAAAAGTTTCCCACCCGATTTAAGCAGCTGTACAGGAAAAACCTGCCACTGGTGCTAAGCAGGGAAAGGCAGCAGGCTGAGGGCTTCCAGGGCAGCCCGCTGTGCCCCTGGGGAGTGGGAGGTGGGCCCCGCTCTGCCGGCAGTGGGGTGTGCGCCCGCCTCGCACCCCAGCCTTTCCCAGTCACTGAGGGGCTCTGCTGCAGCCCCCGCTCAGCTCTGACGGCTGCTGCTGTAATTGCTCCTTTCTGCATTTGTAACTACAAACCTCTGACAACAACATCTGTACCTTGGTGCTTAAGAGGGAGGGATCCAACTTGTTTCCACTCAGTCACCCCTTATGGTCAATTTGTCTTCTATAAATCTAGGTTTTTCTTAATTTTTGGAGAGATGGTGGGATGCCTTGATGGTGTTCTGCAGCAGAACAATCCTCTTTCTTGACTCCCCCATCAATTCTTGGTTAGTGCAGGAGCTGTCAGCTCTTCACCCACACGGCCTGACCCAGCCCCACCCCGTTCCCTACAAATCTGCTCTCTCTTTTTTCTCCCTCTTTCCCTTGTCACTGCAGGATTTCTGATTTCTGAAGTTCATATATAATCATACCTTGTCTCCTGGAGCTCTTCCTTTCTTACTTCCAAGGGAAAGGTCCCCTTTTAGTATTTCCAGTCTTTCTTCTGGCTGTACTGTGTGTACTGCAACTACTGGACTCTATTTGGGTTTTGTGCTTTTCCTGTTCTTCCAGTATTTCAGCTTGCTCTGATGACACCTCCTTTGAAAACATTTCCAGCTGGCTTTCAGCATCCACTTTCAGCACCCTTAAAGGAACAGCCAGATAATCCTGGCCTGTCCTTGCCCAAAGGCAGCAGGAAATCAAGACCCAGACTAGGGTTTGGTGCTTGACTGGCACAAAAACAATAGAGCTAATCCTGTTCCTAAAGAATTTTGCATCTGTTTGACAGGGTACAAGGCTTGGGAGCCACCTGTAGTAGAGATGGAGCAGTAGCTATGCGTGGGTAACGACAGAGATGAGGGAGAACAAACACCAGTGTTACAAGATTTAAATGTTTCCTTACTAAATACATGGGGTTTCATACTGTTCTGTCAGGTTTAAAAAGTAGAACACTCTGTTCTTCTTCCTCTTGACTGTTTTTAGCAAATTTCTCAAATCTTTTGCTTAGGCAGGTTCTTGCAGTCCTGCTGAAGATTGAGATGGCCCTATAGTCCTCTTCATGGGACTCACAACAGCAAAAGGTGCTATCTGAAATGCACAGATTTGCACAAAAAGTATGTACCTACAAATCTAGATCCACTCCCACCCTGGTCCTACAACATATAGGTCTGGAATGAAGGATATAATAATTACTTAGGAATGTGACCAATCCAGTAGGAAAATGATAAATTTGTAAGTAACAGTGAATTATCCAATAATTTCAGCTTCTTAGCTCATGCACAGTAAAACAGTAAAGTAACTTTAGGGAGACATACATGAATATGCAAAATGTACAAAATTCCCTGCTGGGTCAGATGAGTTGCCCAGCTAGGCCAGTCCTTTGTCCTCAGCCTTGGCCACATTTTGCAGACTTTTTGCCTTCTCCTCAGCAGTCAAAGTTCCGGGATTAGTTATGTTAGAGGGGCCATCCCTGCCTAGTGCCTTTATCATTTGTTTGTTGACCTGTTGTCCATGAATCCATCTAATCCTGCCTGGGACACTGCTGTATATTTGTGTGATCTTTTGTGATGTATGTGAGACTAATGCATGACAAGGATGTAATAATTCCTTTTGGTGCTTTCCCAGCCATCAGTCACTGTCTGACACTGATTCTGGAGGTATTTTGGTTCTGCATGTTTAATTGAACCTCTAGCTATAGGAGTGACAGCCCATCTCAGAGGAGACTATGTATACCCACATTCGATTTTACTCTCAAGGGCTCTTGCTAAAATGGAGAGAACTTCTGTTGAACTGAATAGTATTACTCTGAGTTTGCACTGAATTACTGAGGTAAGAATCCAACTTAGATTTCTCGGCACTGAAAAAAACCCCAAACTGTGTTTTTCCTGTAATGTAATAATGAGAAAGAATGTTTTAAGTAACTTCCAGTGATTGATGTTTGGTTTTTTTCTGCTTTCTAATCCTTTTTAATCCTCTATTAGCTGTTCTTTCCATACTCTGTAGTCCATGTCGTTTGTACCTAAATTTCTTCCTTTTTCAGTGACTCACATCTGAATGTGAAATGGAAGACAGTAAAACTATGATTGACTTACACGAGTTTTTGGTAAATTTGAGTCCTATACCTTAAGTTTTCTGCAGCAGAGCTTTGTTGCTGTGTTTGAAGGGGATCATGCTCTTTATGCTGAGTTTGTATGTAATCTGATTGAAAGCAGAAGTGTTCTTCTGCTTGGAGGTGTATGTTTATAGCTGCATTCCAATTCTGTTCAGTTGGGAAAGGGAAGACTCTCTAAGACCTGGAGAAAAGATTTATTTTATAGCAGTAGTATATCCTAAAGAGTTAATGTAATATGATCTGTAATATATCAAAGAGTCAGGAAAATTCTGAGAAAACGAGGGGTAGGAAAGGCAGTAAGAGAACAGGACTGCAAACCTCCGTCACTCCAGTCCCTTCTCCTGCCTCTGCTGCCCCTTGGGCTCATTGGTATTTTCTCTGGTGCTACACAGAAGGCGTCAAGACTGAGCGCCTTACCTCAGCTGCGTGAGGTATGTCTCTCAAACTGTCTGGTTGGATGCTGATTTAGGCAGTGACTTTCAGCTCCCAGATCACATCTGTTTCTTGACACCTGCCTAACTCAGGAGAAAAGACTTTGCAAATCGAACTGAAGGCTTATACTTTTTGAAGAATGTGTGCTATACTCCCTTAAAGAGAGTGATAGCAAAGAAAATATATTGTGGCTAATACTGAAGATTTTTCTCAATTGGTGGTCAAATAGAGCCCATGCGCAGGAAGGTTGCAATGGCAGTTATGAAGATTAAATTGCCTTTTTGTTGGATTCCTCAGACCCAGGACTATTCACGGGGCAAGTTCACTTTTTGATTTATGGATGAGCAGATCTTTACCTTTCCTCGTGCACTACATGTCCATTTTGGGAATGAGACTGTTTGCAGTCTGAGCCTGAACCCCACAGTGTGTGGGTGAGGGCTTCCATAACTCGCCTCTCAGCTGAAACTCATGAAGGGTTCCCAAGACAGGACATGCTGGGTTTGAATACTTTTCATGTGAGACACTTTGCTTATGCAAAGTCTAGTTTTGAATATTTAGCTAGAAAGTACTAAGTGCACTACTCCAAGGGATGTTAGATAATACATTCAACCGAACAAATGTTTCAGGTACTTAATTTAAATGTTGACTTACGAGTGCTTCCTTACTAAAAAGTAATGATGTAAGCTTATTTTTCACTACATAAGGCTGATGCCCTTCCTTTTTATCCAGTCACTCTTATTCCTGTCACTAGATTGTGCATTGCCATTTGCCCTATGCAGGGTAGTGCCTGCTGATAGCAGTGAGCTGTGTCATTAATCACCACCATGGGACATTCGAGGGGGTTAATTGGTTTTTCTTAGTTTTGGTGGTGGCACACTTGGATGTTTGCATAAATAAGGCCTGGAGTTCTTGCTCTAATGTTCTACCAACGTAGCATGGAGCATATAGAGGTTTTGTGATGAGTTTATAAAGACTGGTTGAACCTTCTTTGCTTGCAGAACCATGCTTTATGTCCCCTTTTGTACACTGCTAACTTTGGGCCAGTGCTGGGTTAAAAGGAGTGCTTTATCCTCTTAATCTCCTGTTATTGGCCAGGAAAAGTTAAGTTCAGTATCTTTAGCTTTCTACAGTATAAGTCACTGGTTGGATTTTCTCCTTTTTTTGCTTACAGTTTCATTGTTGAATTAAGTGTAGGTGGCTGGTCAACACCTCCATAGTTGTGAGAGGCTGGGGAAGTATCACCCAATTTACACTGGATGTCCCCTTGGGAGTATTGCCAAGACTTTACAGGGACATATGGCATCCTTATTTGCATCACAGTGACCTGCATTGCAGCTCTCCAATTTGCTCCGTGTCTCTTATGAAAACCTGCCAGAGACTTTGGTAGGTTTCCAAATAAAGGTGTTTCACATTGTCTGAGGACTGGGTCTGTTAGCTGAGCAAGATCCTCCTTTTACATTCTCACTCTAATTGGCTCAAAACACACTCTGCTCTCTCAGCTGAGAGGTGCAAAGCAGCGTGGTCCAGAGAAGCCACAGAGCCAAGCCAGAAAATAGTTCAGCATTTGAAAGTATCTGCTGATACTGTTCTGCTACAAAATCCATTGTTCAAACTGAAGCTGTTTGTGAGCTTTGTGGTATCTTCCCCTTTTGATTTATAGATCTGAGAATGCTGGAAAATTAAATTTTAACATTTTCAACCTTGTTTTTTATGGTTCAAAACTACTTTTGAACAGCAACCAAAGAAATCAAGCAGGTAAGTTGAATAGATGATAAAACTTTCAGGCTTGAGCAGAAAAAGAGTATCTTATGTGTGGTCTCCCTCTTAGCATCGGAGTATATTTTAGCTCTAACAGCCAAATTTATTTCTGTTGCAGTTGTACCAATAGCAAAATACTGTCTTGAATCTTTTAAAACAGAGAACTGAAATGCAAAAATAGTGTGATCCAAAGTTTAATGGAAGTTGGAGGAAGTCTTCTTGGTACATTCAATGAGTGTCACAGCAGGGCAGAAAGGCTTATAGAAGAACAGGTTATACCTTAAGTAGTTCCTCTTGTTTTCCTTACATTTTCCTTTCAGATCATCATCAGATGACAGGAACTACTACTTAGTGGGATTCTCTGGGGTTTTTTTCTTTTATTTAAAATTTTATGTGGTGGTTGCTGTAGGTCCACAGCTGACTTCTGTGCAAGTGCTGGCTGTGGGTGGGTGTACTGGGCTCTGATTTCCCTATGCACCCCACACAGTATGTCTGTCAGCTCTTCTAATGGCATAGAAGACATCAGTGTTTAAAGGAAGAGTAGCATTTTGGTATTTCTGGATGAAGTGGAGGACAAATTATCCTGGTGAGAATGAAGTGGTTGAATATTTGTTCTGACAGCAAAAATATCTTTCACCATCACTTTAAGATTGTCAGTGTGGTTCACAAGTTGGCTTTAAGTTCTTCACTTCTGCAAACTGTGGTTGAGAGAAACACATCTATTTTCTGTGGCTAATAAGAACATTTTTCTCAATACTTCCTTGATATGAGCTACATGTTACATGCAAGAATGAAACAATCACTTTCATAAAGCACCAAATGCTCTAAATGTTGTAGCTTGTTTTCTCATCAGTGCCAACCACAGATCACTCCCATGACAGCTATGAGCACCACATGACCAGTGAGCCAGCCAAGGTCCACAAGTCAAGTAGTCTCTGGATATGAAGCTTGTGCCAACTCATGCTCTTTTTTTTTTTTTTTTTTCCAGAAATGAAAAACCTCATCTTCTTAATTCAGTGCAATCATTGTTCAACACTAATAAAAATGAATAAAAACCATGCTTTTAGGAGATGAAGAGAATAAAAGAATCTATTAAGCTTCACCTTTAGAATTTGGAGGGCACTCTAGTTATAGACGTGTGTGTAGTGTGCATATCCCAGCACCAAAAAAAACCCCCATATCTCCAAGTTTGCTACATGATGATTGGGCCTGGTGACTTTGCCATCCTATTTGTATTTTT